GCAACCGAAATCTTAACGAGCGAAAGTGTTTAATTAACTCTCAAATAAATAATTTGTACGTTGCCAGTTGTCGACGAGTCGGCGAAACCAGAAAATGAAATCAAATAAAAAGATTAAGCAAAATGTACATAATCTTGTTTGCGCGTCACATTTCTTTTTTTTTATATTTTATTTGGTATCTCGTTGTTATTGCTGTTGGCGCGGTGGCGGCGTGAGTTTGTTCTACTTCCGCCAAAATGAAAATGTCCATTGGCCATTGCGAAGTTGTCGTACCAGTGGTGAGTGAAATTGATTACGGGAGAAAATTACTCACACATTTTGGGACCGCTACACCTAATCTAAAGATATAACCTGATATTTACAGTCGGTGCGCCTAATATTCAAACACAATATACATATAATGGATAGCTTATAATCTTAACGTGGCTGGTAGCACAATACTTTACATATATTGTACGTCCAGCCACGGTAAGATTGTATAAAGAAGTAAAATATAAAATATATGCACGCATTTCCTGGAAGACTCTGACCATTTGAATATTGTATTCTGTGCTGAAACAGCATCAGTACATAATAAATAAATTTCATAGAAGCTTTAATTATATATATTAACAAGAGAGAACGCTACAGTCGAGCAAGCCCGACAGTGAAATACCCTGTACCCAGGTAAGCTTCCGGCACTGAGGTATATGCGCCTCTAGCAGAAGCAAAAAGAAGAAGAAGAGCGAACTTGATGCTGCAGTTTGTGGGCGTAGTATCGAAGTGAAATTGTTTCGCTAATAACTTTTCTTAGAACCAACCGATTTAGGTGAAATTTAAAGCATAGATAATATATAGAAATAATATAGAAATAATATGTACAAAGTTTGGTTAGGGTAGCTTCTGAAATGTGGACGCTATTGACGAAATTCTGTAGCGTGGGAAGGGGAGAAAAATTAAAAAAAATAAAATAAACTCGTCCTTACTCGGACCTAGGAGAATCTGGATGCCAACTTTGGTTATTCTAGCTTTTATAGTTTCTGACATGCTTGCGGTCATCCAGACGGACAGACGGACGGACGGACGGACATGTCTAGATCGATTTCTCTCGTCATGCTGATTCAGAATATATATACTTTTGGGGTCGGAGACGCTTCCTTCTGCATGTTACATACTTTGCACAAACCTAATATACCCTTTTTACCCTACGGATACAGGGTATAAAAAGGTATTATTGGCCCATAGGCGTCCATTAGTCCATTTGTATATTTTGGTAATATGTATAATCAAAGCAAATATGCAACTAACAAGCTAAGAGGTCCGCTTAAATTTATATTAAGGTTTGACTAAGGTCATATAATAATCAAGGGAGCAACCGATTTGAAATTATGTTGGCTCTGTCGTCTCTTACGTTATAGGGTGATACTTGTATGATGAATAAAATATCTGTTAATAAATTCAATATTAGAGGCAATTTCTCCTTAAGTGCAATCGCAGAGCAAGGTAATGGTCCCATAATTTTTATAGTGCATATGTTTATACATATATTAAAATAATGTTTATACATATATTTAAATATTCCGATGTTTGATCAAAATGTAGCCAGAAGCATAATTCCCTTTAAGTGAGATAGGCATCACAAGTTATGCATTGACTGCGCTATAGAGTCCATGACGGTCGACTACCCTGAAGCTTTCATAATCTGGTTTTGATACGAGTATTATTTATAGTTACATTTATCTGTTTCTGAAACATTTTTTGGCCATTACATTCAAATGAGTCATGCATTTATGTATATCGAATCGGTGCCTGCATATCTTGTAAATTAGCTGTCGTTGGCTCAGCACTTTCACATTCGGCGATATTCGAATACTGTTATTAACAGTAATGCTGGCCATGCGTAAGCTTTTCATGTGGGAATACCTTTAGAAAATGACAAATTGCTGCAAATACATATGTATACTTAGTATGTAGATACGAAATTGGCACACATGCTAACGCAGTTCCTGCATGAGTGCTGAGAACATACTCGGTCGTTGGCTAAATTGAATTTCCGCTTGGCTTCGTTTCCAAAACGACTTAGCAGATGGGAACGTTTATCGCCTAATTTTGATTGGCCGTCAATTTCCTGTGGTTACTGTTGTGGGTTGGTAGAAGTGTAGTCTAATGATAGTTTTGAAAAACGGCGATCGCGCTCGGTCTTTCGTAGCTCCACACAACTGTCAATTGGCCCAGTTAATAAATGTGGTAATTGCGCGGTTAGTGACATATACAAGCGCATATACAGGCGCGATGTCTGCGGCGTCGCCAACAATAAGAAAACATTTTCTGGCATTGTTTTTCTGACCCTGTCGCGATCACCTGCCCGAGCCAGATACTTTCGTGGCGTCTTTTATTCTCTTGTTGGGCGCACTTCTGTCAGTGCCGCCCTTTTTTGGGCTTATTTTCTAATTTCTTTTCTTTACGGTTTTTGTATTGTGTTAAAAAATGTCTTTTGCAAAATCTTTCTCCTACTTTAGTTGCCCCTCACAACTGGTTTATGTTTTATTACAATTTTCTTTTTTAATATCCATAATTTTTACCTTAGTGCGCTTGTTTCTACACCATTATTGCTGTTGGGCTTTATATATATACATACATATATACTTTTTTTTATCGTTTTTAGTATTGCTGGACTGAGCTTGAGGCGTTTTTCTCCTTCGTTTATTTGAGTAATGTAACCAGTTTTGTACCTTCGACATTGACTGCGACTACTTTTTCTTTTTCTTGTTTAATGCATGTCTAACCCGTTTATGGACAATGACGAACTTTGATGTTAGCCAGAACAACTTGCCAAAGGCTTCTGTTCTTCGGATGTAAGCTGCACTGAGTGGAGTTAGGATCGACGACATTTCATGGCCTATTCAAGTTCAATGTACATTTGTATCTACGTGCACATACATATGTATACATATATAAAAATAAAGATCAAACAATATTTTCATGTATTGTTTTTTAAGTTTGAATCAAAGGATAAATAAACTTTGAATATCTCATGCTTTTGGATGCTCCTAAATGTAAACTTACCAAATGCTTTTTCGCTATCGACGATGTGCAAACAAAAGAAACAGTTCCATTTAAAAGCCTATTACATCTAGTTGCATATTTTAGTAAGTGTTTTCGTCAATATAATTTTTTATATAAGCAATTAAACCCACAAATACACTTTTTTGTTTTGTAAACATAAATATTAGCACAAATTTTCAAATATAAACGTATTGTTGAAGAATTTCTTAATTTACATATACATATGAACCACAAGTGAAATGCTGCACATCAAACAATATCCGACCGTTTTAAATTTTTGAACCTCTCGCGCCCGTCTTTCAAAGAAAACTGAAGACGGCCCGAAGAAGCGGCCACAAAATCCCAATTGTTAGCTGAGATTCTAGTAATGATATGTGAAGAGCTGCTTTAAGAGAGCGCGGACTTATCGCTATTTAGTCTCTCTCTCTTAGCTAATTTCCTCGTACCACCGCAGTGCTGTCATGCGCATGTAAATTAATACAAAGTGCTACCAACCTTCTCAAAAAACTTGTCTTGCATTGAAACGGAATTTTCTGAAATATTTCAAAATTTAACAAAATTAGCCCAATTAATATATGTACAATATAATCATTACTAAAAGAACCATTTTTATAATGAAGGTATTGCTGTTTTGGGATTAATATTTTCTTTTCTCTAAATATATTAGCACGGAAGATGTGGGGGTGAAACATAACCTCTTTGACCACCAAAATGCGCTGCATTCGCAAAAATAATTATGGTGCCTTTTAGTCCATTTATATTTAGGTAGCAATGTTGAAATTCAGCGCGATACAGCTCTTCGTTTTGCTTTTACAACTGATAGTTGTTGACGTGTTTGGCATCATGTTGAGCATGGAAAAAACGATTTTCGTTCTCTCATAAAACATTGCTTTTTGAGACGCAAACCAGAGAAGGAAACGTGAAATATTGGTTTTGAGAGTTTCGTGGTGACCGAAACTCCACTACCGATGAAGTGACAGGCCCTCCGAAGCGGTTACCCAGGAGAATATCCAAAAAATACATGAAACACCATTTCGGTTGACCGAAAATTGGAAGTGCGTGAGCTGCAAAAGCCACAACTATTAGTACTGATCGTACACGCCATATTTTGGGCGAGATTTTGCACCCAGTTATCGTGGGTGCCGCGCACCCTGACTCCAGACCAAAAATACGGCCGCGAGCACACTTCGAAAGAGTGCGCATTATTGGAAATCGCTGCGAAACGGCCTTTCATGGAGCGAAAAAATTTTGTTTTTGCAAGGCAATGCACCGGCACACAAGAGCTGCGCAACCATGGCTAAAATCAACGATTTAGGACTCCAAGTGCTTCCCCATGCACCTTATTCACCCGATTTGGCTCCATCGGACTATTATCTCTTCCCAAAAATCAAAAGATGGCTCATCAATAAAAAATTGAGCTCGCGCGAGGAGATCCTCGACACTGCGGAGGATTATTTTGCATACCTTCCGGAAAATTACATTTCAGACGGGATCAAAAAGTTGGAAAATCGATGGAATAAGTGTAGGAGACTATATTGAATAATACAAAAATTAAAAATAAAAACCATTTTTTTCATTCCCAAGAAGGTTACTTTTTAACCCACCACATTACTCTCATTACTTCATTCCCAAGAAGGCTAATTTTTACCCCACCACATTACGCTCATTACTTAATTAATTACATTACTAAAAATGTTTGGTATATTGTTTATGGCGATATTAATTACAAAAACAATATGACTTATGTATGTATTTTTGTTTGGAACTATATTGCATATTTAAAAAATTGAAGATGTTCATGGGTTTTGAGTAGTGATCATGGCTAACCAAATAAAAGTTAAAAAAGTATGAAAACAGGACATTTTTTTTTTAAAGAATAGAAGTTTTTTTAGATTGTTAAAAAAAATAAACAAAATTTAAAGGTATGTCATGAGGAAACCCAAATTTTGAGAGAATGTGGTTTGATACAATATTTTTTATTAATATTTAAATTTAAGCAAATGAAGTACAATATAACATGATAGCGACATTTTATAAAGCTTGAACAGATAATCGCTTTAGTTTACAATTTTATTCACGAAATGTATTGTTCTTAGTTTCGCCTTAACACAAACATGTTTGTTTACAACTGCGTGACAATGGCAGCATTTCGGAACATGAAGGGGGATAAGTAATTTTAATATTTGTCTACAATAAAGGTAAATACACATAGGCAAACAATGTTCATAACTCTTTGCTACATTACAACGCTCAAACATGGAATTTTTCACACTCATATTTGCCTGTGAGACTCACCAATGCATACGTACACATATGCATACATACATATGTATGTACATATTATAAACTATATTGTAAATGGAATAGTTCCTTGTTGTTGCTGGCGTCTGACTTAGCCATCCTTTAGAGGGTTGTCCCAGGACTTGGCAATCATTTGAATAGCGTCCCGCTTCAGCCTCGGCCCGATCAAAGGATTCATCTGGGCCATGTAGCAGCACAACCAGAAAAGCCAACAGCAGGCGGCAGTAAGCATCAAAATACATCGGATTAGGTTCTGATGCGGTCCTTTCGGAGTCATAATGGGCAAACCAATGCCGACTCCACCCCAGAGCGCGGTGAAGAAAAAGATGGGGAAAAATGCAGCTCCCATTTTTACGTTGATATTTTCCTTGTTTTTGCACAAATTTGCGATGAGACGTCGAGAAATCAATGACATCCGATAGTCAGTTATCGGACAGTGGTGGTAGCATTTGACAGCCGGAGAAGGTAACATTTTTCACATCTCTGACACCAATATAAAAACATTTTAATAATAAAAAACAGAGCAACAAGATGACGATGCGCCCAGATGACCACCGTAGAAAATGGGACAAAGCTGAGTACCAGAAGCTGGCCCAGGAGCGACTGCTCAATCAAGCAGTCACAAAGGAGGAGGGTAAGAACATCAGTGAAAGTTGATCCAAACCCAAAAAATTGGCCTAACTTTTACTATTTTACCCACAGAGCCTGTGCAGCGGGAAAATCTTAAAAGACGGGACTACAAGGTGGATCTTGACAGTAAGTTGGGCAAGAGCGTTGTGATTAACAAAAACACTCCCACATCGCAATCTGGCGGCTACTATTGCAATGTGTGTGACTGTGTTGTGAAGGATTCAATTAATTTTCTGGACCATATAAATGGAAAAAAGCACCAACGCAATCTGGGCATGTCAATGAAGGTCGAGCGGAGCACCGTTGATCAAGTGAAGGAGCGCTTTCAACAAAACAAAAAGAAAATGGAGGAGAAACAAAAAGACTACGAGCTAGAAAGAAGATTACGCGAGGCCAAGGAGGAAGAAGACCGCTATAAAGAACATAGAAAGGAAAAAAGAAAAGAACGCAAACGAAAAGCAGATGATGCCGACGACTTTAGTACTGGCTTACCTGACGACATGGCTGCCATAATGGGTTTCTCTGGTTTTGGTGGGTCAAAGAAAAACTCTTAAGCTTTAAGTGGTTAATTCGATTATTTTTAGCTGTAATGTACAAAATAATACATAATAAAAGTAGTAGTGGAATAAAAATACACTCGAACAAGAGAATTTGTTTGCGACGTTTATTTTATAAATTTATTTGTTTGTATCTTTATGCATGTACGACAATCATGTCCCAAATATCGTCTATATGTATTCCTCCCGACTGTGCCCAAGAAGTGTATATTTAAATAAGCAGTCAAATGCAAAGGACTAAAACCATTTCACTAAATCTATACTTAAGAGCGTCATATTCGCATACTTTATAATATTTTTTATGTGAATACGAAACCATGTTCGGTGGGTATATCCCACGGAATGCTAAAGAACTCGCCCGGTAGTTGGGAGCAGTGGGTTGAGCTAAAGTCCCGCAAATGCTTACGTAACTGAAAGTACAAAAATTATTATTTTGTTGCAAAGCTCATCGCATTGAACATCTTACCAAAAACATAGCCATTTGATTAAGCACTTCCTCTGAATAGTCCTCGCCGATTAGCATAGGAAAGGATTTTCCTTGATCGGACGCATATGTAATAAGACGCGACATGCACAGTTTTTCTTCCGCAACTGTGAAATTAGAAACTTCCAAGGGCTTCGACAGCATGTTAGTGGCTTTTCCTATTTGTGCTGCTCTAAAAATGTTTGGGTACCTATACTTAAGCACAGACAGTGTTAGAAAGTTTCCACGGTTCGTTTCGATACGGTTATCCCTGATAGTTAGAAAACTTGATTAGTCTGAGCCTAGGAATTTTATTTAAAGCTGTACTTACTCAGCGATAATTTCATCTTCAGTGCGTCGAATCAATAAAATGGGACCGTGGTACTTCATGGCAAGTTCCGAATTGTTCAGGTTACAGTAATTACGTATAGCAATTTTGACGATGCCAGAAAGGCTCGTAGGCATACGAGTTTCCGCCAAATACAGAACATCGTCGAAAGTTGCGTCCAATATAACTCCCTTGACACCGGCATAATTTGAGGCCGCTACTAGCGTGCTAAAACCGCCAATACTCCACCCATACAAAATAATGTCCTCGACTGCGAAGCCTAGCTGTTGGATTGCAAACTGAACCACTGCATCAATTGCGTTTCTATCTTGTTCAGGGTACGGCTTGCCAGTGCTTCCTTCAAATCCCGGATGATTCCAGCCCAACACGGAGTATTTGAGCGCAATTGGTGTAGCCATTATTCCGATCTCGTAAAAACCAGCGTTGCCTGGGAATTCAGGGAACGTACATATGAAACTGGAGATTTCGTTTGTTTATATATAAATATTAACCTTCAGAGCATATAACCAGGGTCTTTCCGTTGCCAATATTATCATTGCGGTTGTCAACAAATACAGTGTCAATTTCGTTTGAATCGATCGTTTTGATTTTGTACCGTAATCCATTGTCGTCCTCAATTAGTTTTGCACGTCCAGAAATTAACATGGGTCCTGAAAAGGAATATTGTACATTCGGAATCACAATTAGAATATTACATACGCATGAACTTCTGCAAAAGTTTCACTGAGCCCGGATACATCATAGATAGGCCAAATGTACTTATAGCCAAATATGCTGCCAATTCACATGGTAGTGTGGCAATCTTAAGCGAACCACTGCGTCGGCTATTAACATTTAGTGATTTCTTTTTATCACTGAAATATGGAAAAATTAATACCGAGTAGATGGTAAGTCAGGAAAATTTTACTCATCCGTGCTCCCCACATCGAAGTCAACCGGCCAAGCACTGAACTCAAAATCAAAGCGACGCAGGTCAGCATCTCCGCATGTTTTGTTGGCTTTGGCCTGTTCCAGAGCCTTCATCATGCTTGAGTAAGCGCGGGATTGTAAGCGCCCGATGCCACGCATAAATAACGATATCATCACAATAAGGCCAACGCTTGTCGTTATTTTAGCCAATGTTGGCATCGACTCTGCCACAAAGTATCCGCGCCGATACAAAAATGTAATGATTAGGGGGGATGTATAGTAGCTAATGTTCCACATTACCGATAGCTGTCAAATGAAAAAACAAAGTTATTAGAAGTCAATGTCTGCATGTGTTTGTGAGTTCCCACCGTTGATAGAATTTGATCTCCAAATTTCTCTGCTGCTCCGGGCTCGTACATCTTTCTCTGCAATTTACAGAAAACATTTTAGCATTTGGTCGACTATGCTGACCAAATTTTAGCAACCAACCTGAGGTTCTGGCACTCCCTTATACTCCATATACAACTTGGGCCCAAATATGTAATTTAGGATACTCATTTTGTTGCAGCTTGTCTTGTAACAGTATTAAAATATTGATAATCACTAATTTTTGATGATTTATCAGTTTTTTTTTTCTCGTAATGTGAAAGTCTGATGTGAAAATGCCAGGGTGTCACAAAACATCAGATGTGATGTTGCAGCTTTTGTTATTAGTTCCACTAGTTCATTCTGCTATTCCTGCTATGCTACATACATAAGTATATACATGTCCATCTTTTGCATACTTTGTTAGTATGTACGTATGTAATGCTCTTTGCAGTAGATAAATTTATTTAAAATTGAAATCAGTTCATGAAATGAAAAAGTGGACAAATAAAAAAGACTGGTAAACTTCAATTTACTGCATGATGGTAATGGAATCAAGCTAATAAGGTCGTTCAATAATTTCTTCAAAGAAAACAACCATCCACAATAATACATTTATGTTATTATTTGTGTTATTATTTCTTTATAAAATTGTGATACGGTACTTCGCGAAGTTTGTTTGGTCACACTGGAGAACTTTTATGGAGCATCTCTAAATAGGCGTTCAACATAATTTGGTGCAACAAATTTACCGCAGCAAGTGGAAAAGTAATATGAACCTAAATGTCATTTGGAACTGTTTTCGCACCCCTTAACCTTTTTTTAATAGCCGGGCTGCACCATCTCGGACTTAATTCCACAGATACTATACTTAATTAAAAATGAAAAAGATAGCTCAAATTCAGGCCAAAAATGCGGCGGCTCAAAAGCTTGTTGAAAACTATGCCTCCAGTTCTGAAGATGAAGGCGAGCTGGATGAAACACGCATACTGGGTAAGCCACAACAATGCGTTGCGACGTGGACACATTTATTAAGTACACATGTACATACACATGTATGTACATATTTCTTTACGTGCATTTGTATGTAAGAAGGGATCGTACATTACTAATTGCCGCTGATATATTGCAGATTTGCTTTATGAGCACTATCAGCCGCCATCGGAACGCAGCTCAGCCAACAGTAGCAATGGCCATAGCATGGGACGCACAGCAACGTTCCTTCAAAATGCGTTGCATTCTGGAGCGGCTACCTGTTTGATTTGCATCGGTAGCATACGACGCGTTGAGGCGATATGGTCGTGTCAGAGCTGTTACTGTTTCTTTCACTTGAACTGCATTCAGCGTTGGGCTAATGATAGTCTGATGCAGATGAAAACCAAGGTGGAACAGCAAAATGGCGAGCAAGGTTACTATAATTTTATGGGTGAATATGTGCCACCAAAGCGGCATAAACAGCTACACTGGTGCTGCCCCCAGTGCCGCAAGGAGTACTTACCAGGCGAACGACCAAAGCAATACGAATGTTTTTGTGGGAAGGAGTTGGACCCGAAACCAGAGCCATTTCTTGTTCCACACTCTTGTGGAGAAATTTGTAGCAAACTCTTACAGCCAAAATGTGGACACGACTGCAAGTTGCTCTGCCATCCTGGTCCATGTCCACCCTGCGCTCAATTGGCTCACAGCTCCTGCCTTTGTGGCAAGTCAGCCCCTCGCTCGATGCGCTGCATTGATAAGCACTGGCAATGCCAGCAAATTGTAAGCAAGCATAAAGATTTGTCTGGAATGCACTTAGCACTATTTTAATTTGCAGTGTAATGAATTACTGAAATGTGGAAAGCATTTATGCAATCAAATATGTCATAGACCAGGCCAGTGTCCGCCGTGTACGAATAAGAGTAAGCAGCCCTGCGAGTGCAATCGAGAGGTGAAGACGGTAAACTGCTCGGAGCTTAAATGGAAATGTAAAAGAGTACGGAAATAACCATTACACCTAGAATCGGCATTACATTTTGACGGTTTCCTCTTTAACATTTTTATAGGTTTGTGGGGCTGCCTATTCTTGTGGTCTGCATTTTTGCGAACGAGTTTGTCACTATGGAAGTTGTGGGGATTGTCCCTTGGGTTTGCCTCGCACGTGTCCCTGCGGCAAGAGCGTATGTCTGCATTAAAATGATTCTTAGCCGAATATTAACAATACCGTTATTTTTCATAGAGCAAAGTTGGTCCTTGCAGTCTAGCGATTGACACTTGTGGCGACACCTGTCAGAAACTCCTCCCCTGCGGACTCCACACATGCACCCAGCGCTGTCATCGGGGATCTTGTAATTTGGTATGAGCTGCTGCAAACATTCCACTCAAAAGCTATTTCAAAACAAATTCTTCCAGTGTTTAGTTATCACCAAAAAACGATGCAGGTGCGGGCAGCACGAAAAAGAGCTTCCCTGTTCCAAGGAATTTACATGCGAGACCAAGTGCAAGCGCATGCGTGACTGTGGGAAGCATGTGTGCAATCGAAAGGTATATAGGATAAATACGAAAAAAATATATATACTCTCAAAAATTTGATGTCCTTTTTCTGACCTCTTTTAGTGCTGTGGAGATCAGTGTCCACCATGTGAAAAGATCTGTGGCAAACAGTTGAGTTGCAACAAACACAAATGTCAGTCCGTCTGCCACAATGGTCCTTGCTATCCATGCAAACTGGAGTCCCAGGTAAATTGTCGTTGCGGTAAGACGAGAAAAAGCGTACCCTGTGGGCGGGAGCGTAATGCTAGGATTATTTGTCTGGAGCTCTGTCGTATCACGTCTAAATGTCATCATAGCGTTAAACATCGTTGCCACAAGGGAGAGTGCCCGCCTTGTGGACAACCATGCAATCTGCCAAATGATATCAGCGGTTGTGGACACATTTGCAAGGCACGTTGTCACGCAGCAATACGAGTTCCTATATCATCAGCAAGCGCAAAAAAGGTAAGATCATTTTCGCAGATATTATATGGTTATACATTTAAATATAAGTAAGTTTTACTCGTAAAACTCAAACTAATCAATTTTACCCGTAAATTTCCTATTTAAGAAATAGGGATCTTTCGATCATAAACGTTGGTTGGATTATGTATATATTATGTATTGGATTAGATTGCCTGATGCAACATTTATCATGCTACCAATTTTAAATACTATTAAATTCTTCATTATTTAAAATATCTTGTTTATTTCTAGTATGAGTATAAAGCACAGCCTCATCCGCGTTGTGAGCAAAGCGTCAACGTCACATGTATTGGAGGCCACGAAGTAGCTATGTGGCCATGCTGGAACTCCAAGCCTTCATCCTGTCAGCGTAAATGTGCTCGGAAATTGAAGTGTGGCAATCATAAATGCAATCTTGTCTGCCATGCCGTGCCCAATCTTCAGGATATGAATGAGCAATCCGGGTGCGCTAAATGCGAGGAGGGCTGTGCAGTCCCACGACCTTCGGGTTGCATACATGCTTGTCCAAGATCTTGTCATCCACCACCATGCATGCCTTGCAATGTAATTATCAAAAGTAAATGCCATTGCGGTCTGAATCAGGTTGTCTACAAGTGCAATGAGTTCTTCGACGAAAAGAGCACCATACAGGAAATTGTTGAACGGCAGCAGAAATTTCGGAGTTGCGGTAATCGCTGCTTGAAAAATGTAATTGAATTTAAAGATTCGCAGAACATCTGGATATAACATTTGTAACATTTACAGTTTGCTTGCGGCCATCGATGCATGACAACTTGCCACCCTGGAAAATGCCCAAATCCGGAGCTGTGTCGCAAGAAAGTCCGCATTTATTGTAAATGCAAAAGAATCAAGTTGGAAATCTCTTGTGATAAAAATCGAGCTGGTCAAGTGTCCTTGGATTGTGATGCCTATTGCGCTGCAGAACGGCAAAGAGTCGAGGCTGCCGAACGACAGGAAATTGAGCAGAAATTGCTCGAAGAGGACAGAAAGAGGCGCATAGAGCTTGAGAAATTCGAGCAGAAATTTGGCAAGCGTAAACAAAGAGAACGTAAACTAATCGAAACCGAACCAGCCAAACCTCTGATTAATTGGCATCGCCTGGCAATCTATGGGCTGGCCCTGCTCGCGGTCTTGGCCGCCATAGGCATAGGTTTTTATGCGGACAGTTAAAACAAACACAGATAGGTAGAGTTAAAAATACTTAATGAAATTGTCTAAGGAAATTAATACATAAACAAATTAACTAACACAACGGACACAAATTGGATTTGTTTTGTGCTTCGAGTATATGTTCAATGAGCGTGGAAGTCGTGCATTTCATCGTAATCCAGTCGTATTTAATTTAAGCCTTCTTGGCCTTCTTCTTGTAAACGCATGCAGCCGCAAAAACAGAAGCGCTAAGGAACGTCGATATCAAGAAGTTTGAAAGCAACATCCAATCGTGGGACTGAACATACACCGTATATATGCGAGCTGCAGAAGGGGCATCAAAATGGTATTTATTGCATTTATTTAAAAAAAAGTATTGCTTACTCATGTTGGTGAAAGCAGATAGAGCCCAAGTGGTGCGGCTGACTGAACTGGCATCCTTCGTTCTTAATATGGCAAGTAATTGCAAAACCTTGCTAGTAGCTCCAATTGGTGTGCAGAAGGGCTGTCAAAATTATATGACAATATAAAATAACCGGTGTTAAATAAAATATATGTATGTATCTATATATGTTGCCCCATGTCAACATAAAAATATAAATAGCAACACAGCTAGAAACCACTTGACCTTGAAACAAACTACCAAATTAAAACACCGCATATTTCTATTTGTTTTCGGACCCTTCGGAAGCAAAACCCAAAACGCAGCATTTTAACAAAGTGCTTCAAAGGGGAAAATGTCTAATGTTAATGATTAATTAAAAACAAGTTATTTTTGCGTACATATATGCTCATATATATATATGTATATATTGTTATCTTAATTTATATTGTATGTATGTGTATATATAGATAGACAAACCAATAGGCCGCTGACTGTCCCCGAACTCTAATCAATTTACCTGGTGACGAATGTCGGCTTAAATATGTGGGAAAGATAGCGGACTGTCCCTGTCTATATGCGACTATATTTTTATATAATTTGTCATAAATACATATTTTTCTAGAGGTACTCACCACCAGGAATGTAAGAATAATTATTGGGAACAGTTTAAGATAGATAAGAGTCGCTATAATCATATAGAGTACGGCTACTATCTGCGTCCTGATACCCAAAAGATCCTGATATTTGAAAGCATAATAGATAAGCGCATATTCCTGCAACAACAGCACCGGATACTCCATGTAAGATAAGAAATCATAGCCACTGCTGTAGTTGTAGGATATCATCACTGTGTAGCTAAAAAGTTCCAGGCATAGTCCAAACACACTTATTCCTTGCAGGAGAATTTCGTATCAATTGTGTTTCAGCCATATTTCAGCTTATTTTCAGTTACCTTTCGAAGATTGGTTTTGCCTTATGGTATTTATTTGCGGCACTTTTATAACGAGGCATGAAGTCACAGTTATTAAGCTTAGCAAGTCAGCTATTACTAGTAAAGCACCTTTCTCAAAATAAGTATTTACAGCGTCCATCTTAACAGCCCGCTCTCTAATCTTATAATAAGTGCCGTGTTTAGTCGAGATACAGATGTTACTAATTCTCGCCCACGCAGATTTTTTTTCCCCGAGTTGGCAGTGCCGTTAATTTCTGGGCTGTGTTGGCGCGAAAGTTGCGGTATTTTGAATCCCTAAAGGAGGTTAATATTAAACTATATAAAACAACGTCAATAAGAAGAATGCGTCTATAGTTGTATTAAATACAATGTATTTTAAAAAATAAACGCGATATATTAGGACATGCCTTTATTTTTTTGAAATATTTGTATTTTTGTCATCCACGTGACTTGCGACTTGTTAAGGGTTTGGACTATGTAACAGGTTCTTAAAAATTTCTCATCTCTGACCGTGGCCACTTGTTGCTATAGCAACGGCCATTTCAACAACAAATTTTTGACAAGGGTGAAAAAGATTCAGAATCCATGGCTGACGATGGAAATAAGTGCAATATTTTAAGAAACTGGGCTACACGTGCTAATGAACAATGTCTTTTGAGAAAATACTTTACAAATATGACGAACCACACGGCATTGGAGATGTGTACTTTATTTGGCAAAAAGGAAGCACCGGCACACTTCTTGCTACGACGGGTACCGATGGATCTGTGGCGATATATAACCGTCAGGGTCAGCTAGTGCAGCGCTTAATTCTAGTCGGGTAAGCTTCAAACCATTCCATAACTCCATTCATAATATTCCTTACATTAAATATGCCATTACAGTCTCTGCTCCGGCTTTGCATGGGACAGCGATGGTGAATTACTGGGAATCATTACCTCCAGCTCTCCCAACATTACGCTTTGGGAAGCGGCCACAGAACAAAAAATAAGCATAGAGTCTGGCCTACGTGATCCACTCACCTGCATTTTGTGGTCAAAACAGGAGCAACTGTTGGCAGTAGGAACGGGGCGTGGCAATTTGGCTATCTACAACCACCGCACGGGGAAACGCACTCCAGTGTTAGGCAAACACACTAAACGAATCACTTGTGGTGCTTGGTCGGCACAAAACCTCCTCGCTCTTGGATCTGACGACAAGAGTTTCTCGTTAAGCAATGAGGAGGGCGATTCAATGAGAATTGTTCAACTGCGTGATGTGCCTTCCGATATGTACTTTGCTGAAATGGCTAACGACGAGCGCATCGCAGGAGATAATGCCATCAGCATGATCATTGGAAAGCGCACATTGTTTCTGTACTACTTACCGGAACCAGACAATCCAACGGAGCTGGGATTTCAAAGTCGTTATGGTTCATTGCTGCAGCATAAATGGTTTGGTGAAGGTTACATTCTGCTCGGGTTTTCTAATGGACATGTAGTCGCCATCTCGACGCATCCCAAAGACGTCGGCCAGGAGCTGTGGCAAGTAAAGAATCATAAAGACACGTTAGCGAGCTTGGCCTACTGCCCGTCTTTAGACATTGTGGCCTCCTGTGGTGATGATAAGTAAGTGATGTTAGTAGTGTTTTTTCGGCATACTTACATATGCTATAATTTCATGCACATTATTCCCTCAACAGTATCAAAATACACTCCATAACGAACCTGCAGGAAACGGAACACATAATAACGGTACCCGATCATGCCAGCGTGCAAATGATTGATTGGTCGCCGGATGGCCAGCTTATGGCTGTCACTACGAGTGGCGGAGCTGTGTACACCTATGTCAAGGTGCCAAGCATGTTTGCAGTATCGCCTCCGCGAATTGTCATGCTTAGTAGCCTGGCCGAAGTTTCAATATATGTTTACGCGCCGGAAAAGTCTAAACCGTTACCTTTTCGCCTCTCCCTTGAATCAGAGCCCACATTCCTGGCTTTGGGCCCATATAACTTAGCCGCTGGCGTTGACAAACACATCTGGTTCTACGATTTGGGGAAGAGCCTGGGCGAAGAACCGCGTTTGTTAAGAAATGAGCGTGACATGCCACGTAGTATTGCCGCCATGAAAATGAATGCAGACTATTGTGCGGTTCTATGTCCCCCACAGCTTTTCCTCCAGGCTATTACTGCTGACAACCCAAATGTAAAGGATAAGCTTCAACAATGCTTTCCAAACGCTCTGCCTACACTAAGCGATGCAGTCATCACATGCTTTGGTATAACGCAGGATCTACTTATCTTTGCCACAGACGTAAATGCCCTTTGAGTGCGATTGAGTGAAACTAGTGTTAAATCTATACGCCTTTACAGATTGGACATCTCGTATTTTACTCCTTGGAGAAATGGGACGTTTGCTCAATATACCGTCACAGCATGGGAATCACTAGTTTATACCCAGATATTGAAGGCACTAAAACTATTTTCATTGATGATAATAACCAGGGATTCATATATCTTCCCGCTTTGGATGAGGCCTTGTTGATTATGGACCTGCCCAAACAGTGTCTAGGCTGCATTTGGGATTTAACTCAGTCGAATATTTTCATTAGCTACGACGCGCGCATCGTGAACACGCACGTGTTCGTGCGGTACTCTGTTAAGGGCAAGCACACGCTTAAAGTTGGCGAGTCCAAACTAAATCCCGGTCAGTTTCCGCTGCTGCTCTGTGCGGGCGAGATGGCGCTCCATATTGATGGCGGACAGTATGCTACACAGTCACTTAGCACGCACGTTGTGAACCCAAACAATAGTCAGATGGGCAACATGCAATTGTTGCTGCGCCTTAAAAAGTACAGCGAAGCCTTCAAAGCCTGCGATCAGATGGGCTTAAGCAGTGCTTGGCGTGAGCTCGGGGAGCAGGCAATAGCCGACTTGGAGCCAGAAATTGGTAAGTTCGAATAAAAACTCAATGGGCACTGAATTCTTTTCTTTCCAATACTTTATCAATGCGAAGAAAAGTAAAAAAGTGTAAATAGAAGAAGGCAGGTCTCGCAAAGTATGATCAGTACAGCATCGGAGGTAGAACCACCCAATATTGATACACATTTATATGATTGCCAGACATTTATTTTGCTAAATGAATTAATCTGATGTTTTTCACTTTATTATTTTATTAACATTTATTTATTTTAAAAACACAATAAGTGTATATACATATATGCATACTGAAATATTAAAGATATAAACAGAGAAGTTATTTTTGCTTGCGCCTACAAAGTATTTGACAAGCAGCAGACAGCATAAGTAAATTATATATAATCTTACAACAAAAATTCCAGGGACTGTAATAATTATAAGTGTTATTATAAAAATGACAAAATAACGGTTATTTTTTCATTCATTCCAATATATTAATTAAATTTATGTTATACATACTTTACAACTCTACCAATAATCAGTATATTTGAGCAAAAAAATAAAACCCATTAAGCAATGATGATTCATTAAGTTTAATTTAAAAAAAAAAACTCAAGGTATCACATTTATATATTTTTTTCAACAATAAGTCAGTAGTAAGTAGTAGACTAGAGATAAAAAGTAAACTCAAAATTACTTAATTTGTAAACAAATGTATTATTTATTAAATTTTAGAAGCAACAATAGACGACACATAAATAAACCATTAGAACTTACTCTTGACCTATTAACTACCCTATTAACTACTATTACATTTATTAAAATATCTGCTATACTTAGCATCGACTGGTGCAAAAAATCTCATTTAAGTTAAAGTAACAAATGTGTCCATTTTGAAAGCTCTAGGTGCCTATCGCAAGCTAGGTGATGCAGCTATGGTCGCAGCACTAGAAGAGGTGCGGTACATCGAGGATATGAATATGTTGAGCGGATGTTGCTGCATGCTACTTGCTCAGTACGAGCAGGCCAAGGATTATATGCTCAAGGGTGCTTATACGCGAGCCGCGCTCGACCTTTGCCGGGATTTGCTGCAGTGGGAACAAGCGCTTATGCTGGCCCACAAGTATGAATTGAATGAGGTCCCTTATATAGCGCGCGAATATGCCCAGCAATTGGAGTTCACGTGCGTAGGAGTAACTTCTTTTTTTTCATAAGCCATATATATGATTGTTTTCCCACGCAGAGGTAACTATGCTGACGCTTTGTATCACTACGAAAAAGGCTACAAAGAAGACCTCATCAACGATGACACGGTGCCGACGCTGCTACAGAGTAATCCCGAGTACGCAGAACATGTGCGACAATGTAAGATGGGTATAGCACGTACATCCATACGGGCCGGCGACTTTCGGCGCGGCGTAAGTTTTGGCTCCACTCATAATTTTTTTAAATCCTTGACGGCATATCTTACAAATTCCCAGATACAATACGCTGTGGAGCTTCAGGACAAGCAGCTGCTCTTTGATTGCGCCGAGCTTCTTGCCACCGTTGGACATCTGACCGAGGCTGCCGGTCTATACGAGCGCGGTGGCTATTACGACGAGGCTTGCGCTCACTATATTGCACTAAAAATGTGGCACAAGGCTAACCAAATTCTGACGCATGTAAAGAGCACTAAACTGCATGCCGCCTACGCAAAGGCCAAGGAATCCGACGGTCACTTTGAGGACGCTATTAGCAGCTATCGCAAAGCGGGTGACTTGGACGCATGTGTGCGTATCTACTTGGATCATTTGTGCGATCCTCATGCAGCCTCCGAGATAGTTATCGAGTCACGCTCGATAGACGCAGCGAGATTGTTGGCCAAATTCTATCAGAAGATCGGCGACGTGGAGCAGGCATTGCAGTTTCTGGTCATTTGCGGATGCGTGGAGGAGGCCTTTGCTCTGGCTCAGCGCCATGGTCAGTGTCGTCGGTATGGTGAGCTGCTCGAACGCTATGAGAACGCTAAGTCTGGCGATTATCTGGCATTGGCGCACTACTTTGAAAGCGAAAAGTACACGCTGCTGGCTGGCAAATATTATTTCCTTGCCCGGGAGTTCACAAAGGCGCTGCGGTTTTTGATAAAGGCCTCGGCTTTCAGTAACGAGGAGTCACAGTCTCTTTCGCTGGCAATTGACTGCGTGGCCACGTCTAACAACGAGCAGTTAGCATCACAACTTATTGAGTTTTTGCTAGGAGAAGTGGATGGGGCTCCCAAGGACCCGCGATATCTGTTTCGATTGTATATGGCGCGCAGGCACTACAAAGATGCGGTCAAGACTGCTGTTATTATCGCCAACCAGGAACAGTTAGCAGGGAACTACAAATCTGCACGAGATCTACTCTACTCCATGTACCAAGAGCTACGCCGCAACACAAACATACAGTTCGCAACAGCAGAAATGCGTCATAATTTGATTTTGCTACATCGCTACACGTTGGTGCGCATTCATGTGAAGCTGGGAAACCATTTGCTGGCCGCTAAGCTTCTGGTGCAAGTGGCAGCTAACATTTCGCAATTTCCGGAACGTAAGTCTCTTTGACTGATCTTGGCAAGGATATTCAATTGAATCAAGAAGCACCTCTGTGTGCTTAACCTCTGTTTCTGTTCTATTAAAACAGGAACATCCCAACATGTTTAAAATCAATACTATTTTCTTTTATCCTCAGATATTATACCAATACTCACTTCAACCGTGATAGAGTGTCATCGTGCTGGTCTCAAGAAGTCGGCGTTCACCTATGCCTCAATGCTAATGCGGCCGGACTACCGAAACCAACTGGATGGGCGCTATATAAAGAAGATCGAGTCCATTGTGCGTAAGGCTCCGAAGGGAATTAAGCAGCTTCGTGACGAAATCGATGATGAAACCATGGAGTGCCCCATATGTGATGCAAACTTGGCTAACATGGAAGTGACCTGCTACAATTGCAAAACCACACTGCCAATATGTATTGCCACGGGCCAGCACATCATCAAACAACATATGACTTCGTGCCCCGAATGTGATTTTCCGTGCTTTCGTGCCGAAATGGAGAAGTACTACGCGTCTTAAATGACTTAAAACTGATTATACTACATTCTCTTCGTCTTTTGTTTAGAATACTCTCTGAGAACGGTGAATGTCCCATGTGTGGCGAGCAGGTGGCTCCCGAACGATTGCTGGACGTAGAGGATATTCGCCCCTATATATTGGCTGCTTCTTGAATGCATCAGCCTAGACATAAGCAACCGAATAGACTGCACTAAACAACACCAAAACATATTACTAAGTTACAATTCACATAAATCACTTTAAGCGCTTTATTTTCCTGTACTTATGTAGTTTCCGTAAACTTTTTGAAAATACTTATGTAGACAATTTGCGTATATGTAGTAGGTTATTAGGTAAAACAATAAACTGGGTTAGATTGAATTCACAAATGAAGTACAAAAATATGGGATAACAATTTTTTTCTCTTCACATCAGATTACGCTGATATTTATGCTGTTTCTTTTCCCAGCAAAAGGGACCGTTAACATTTTGAAATCGTTCATTTGATGAAATAAACATCGATATAAATCGATGAAATCGACATCGATAAATGCTAAATCGATGCTTTCACACCACTTATTTGCGGTCCATCGAAAAATATTCTTGTTGATATATTATTATATTTTATAATAAATTATTTTTTTTTGAAACGTGCTTTCATCTTTTTTGTAATAGACTGTAAACATCATTATGCTGGATAATATTATCGATTTTGCCAGTTACTGGTGGTTTCGTTACTTGATGGTGCGTACACTCTCCCCATGACCAATGAATTCCACAAATTTCTTTAATTAATGCCTCTTAATGTGTTTTTATATGGTGCGTACGACAGGTCACGGAGCTGTATATGGTGGAGAAATGGGAACGTGTTACGATACGTAAGTAATTCTCAATGCGAGCATGCCAGCCATTGCTGGGAGAATTGTATTTATTTATTTATGGTGCCTGATTAATACTGATTTCTTATCTTGAACCGCAGATGTTATATTCTTGACGTTATTCTGTATTTTCTGGTACTTTAACTATTCAGTGCTGCTTTCCTTCACCGGTAATCTTTTTGGTTTCGTGCCAGATGTATTGCCAGGCGTTAAACAAGGACAAGGCATAAAGGTCACATAGTCATCGGCAGTTGCAGAATCAGCTTAAGTTACAATCCAATTATGTTCATATTCTTTATACGCTAACAGCACTCATCACAAACCTTAATCATGATGGCAATGAATTCTGTCTAAGGTATGGAAAGGGGTTCCATAATATTAATCACTATCCTAGAAGAATTGATTACATCAACTTATCGACTTTAGCTCAACACACCTATAGTATTTTTCTAGTTAGCATTAGTTGAAAGTTTTTGCGTTTGGGTTAACCTGTAAAAATAAATACACAATTCAAATAATTACACTTACTCTTACTTTTTTTTATATACTTTTACTTCACGCTTTAATACACTAAAAGTTAGAATTTCATTATAAAAATATAGCCTATTTTTATATGTTCATATGCATTTTATATTATTTAATTATACATATATATGTATAGAAAAGTGGTGCGTCTTTTTGTTATTCGAGTGACTGCAGAAATCGCTGAAAGCAATTTACCATGCACAGAAAATATATTATATATTGTGAGTGTATAGTTAGGGGACACGGGCTACATAGACACTTATTTCCTAGTACGAGCTACGAACTATGTATGTATATGTGCAGGTATTTTAAATCTTGCACTGCCCTCATCGCTTTCATTCCTTAAATAAAATAGAGCCTACTGCTAGTGTTTAATGGACGGCAGACACCAAGTGTCTGCACTCCATGCAGCAAAATTACCAAACTAATTTATATATGCATGTAACTAAAAGCTAACTTTCGTTCGTTCTCTAAAATTAGTGCGATCGCCAATCTTACAAGGAGCAGAGTTGCGTTACAAACTAACTATATACACATCAGACAGCCAGCGCAGCTGCTTGTTAGGATGTGCTTTCCAGCAGCACCGATGTTAATTCATCATTAGACTCGACATATACGAACGTAGGATCTTCACCATATTCAAGGCGTCCATAGCGAGCCACCAGTGGCGTCTTGGTATTAACCTGTGTTGACCTCGGCCACTTTCGTTTAGTCTTCGTATGTGTTAGCATGTGGGACTTGAGATTGGTGGACTGGGCGAAGCACTTAGAGCAGCCATCGATGGGGCAATGATACGGTCGATCACCAGTGTGAATGCGCACATGGGTGCGAAGATTGAAGTCTAGCGAGAACCGTTTTCCACAACCCTCAAAGGTGCATTCAAAGGGCTTCTCACCAGTGTGTACCAGCTGGTGGCGCTTCAGTTTGGAGCTCTCAACAAAACTCTTTCCACAAACATTGCACACATGCCCGCGTGGACCATGCGTGTGCATATGCTTACGCATGGCTGAGTGATTGCGGAACTCCTTGTTGCAGCCGCGATGCGTACAACGGAACTTGGAGCCATCTTCCTCCTCCAGAGCTGCCGCTGCTGATACCGTAGTGATTACCGCATTGCTAGTTGCTTTGTTGTGACATAAAATCGAGGGCAACTTTTGCATTCCATTGCTGCTGGTGACTGTGGTGGCGGGACGAGAATTGGACACACGCTGTATAACCGCTAAATTGCTGGCGGGCGCCAGCGGAGGGGGTGCCGAGTTGTTTCCAAATGCTCCGATATTAGTGATGACGGGGGTGCGTTTTGAAGCTTTTACATTCGTTGATTTCAGGCGTACGTTCGTGCTGCTGTTCTGAAGAACCAGTTTTGGAAGTGTTGCTTGCACCGCTACTGATGGCGATGTCGTCGTCGTTGGCGTAAGGACTTTAGCCACCCGCGGCGTATTTGTGGGAGGTAGCTGGGGCAGAGATGTGGAAGGTGGGCCCAGCTCAACTGGATTGGGCATATTCTCAATTAGCTCAATGTTCCGGTACGTTTCTTCCAGCTGATTATCCGAATAGATATACTGTTCACTGAGAGATTGACTGTCATCTTCACCTTTAACATCGCCCATAAATGCGTTGACCACCTCCTCCACATCTGTAACAGCGGAAGCACTAAACGGATCCGGCAATATAACATACTCGTTTCCAATGCCATCACTGAGTACATCGTGATGCATATTTTCGGAGAGAATGTGTTCATCTATGATGAGTTTTTGCATGGATGAGGAATCGTTAACATCAGGTGTTATTGTCGTTGCACTGTTATTTTTTCCCATGTTATGATCCACTTGCTCTTCAAGATCGAGATCCTGTTCGAATTCCTCGTCTTCGTCTTCTGAGTTCAGTGAGGACCACAGTGTTACATTGAACTCATCCTGTGTGATACGTATGGGCACTTTTGTTTGCTTCCAGCGCTTCGCTGTAATCGTGCGTTCTGGTCGACCAAAGGGTTTAAAGTCTTGAGCGTTCGAGCTATTTGAATCTTCGACTGACTTCATATAATAATCGTTCTCCAGTTGCTCCTCCTTAATGGTGGTCGATTCGATGGTTGTCAGCATTTTTGAAGCGATCTCAAAAGCATTAGCATCACGCGTTATTGCGCTTACAGGCACAGCTTCTTCCTCCTCTTCTACATCGTCATTTTCCAGCTCATCCTCGTCAGCTTCATCGTCACTGGCCTGTTGCATTATAATTGACGGCGGCAGGGCATCGGCCGTAGCAACTCCAACTGAGGTGAGACTATCGGGTACTGGACAGTATTCATATACATCACCAGATATAAAAAATTCTCCCTGATCCACGACTATGTTGCCGTCATCATCGCGCTCATCAATGATCTCTTCGATTAAAAAATTTTCGTTGTCACACATATGATCTGCCGCATCCAGCTCGCTGGTATATGGATGTTCCTCAACGGTCGTTGTGGGTGGCAGAACGTGCGTAAAATACAATGGCGAAGTTGTGTTGTGCGTTGAGGATATCGGCAGGGGAACGGCTGCCGCGGCCAACGACAAATTTTTAACAATTGGCGCTCGCGGCTGGAAGTTGCCACCGTGGTTGTGACTCGTCATTGTGAAGTTGAAGTCACCGTCCGACGCCGTTCTTGGCGTTACTTTTTGTGTGTGTGTATAACACTACCTGAGTGTGTGTACGGGGGCGCTTTAACGTCAGTGTCAGCAAATAGTCAATCAAACTTTTCGCAGATCCAATTTGAAATGAAAAACTTACCAACAATCTAGTTGCAGGTTGTATGAGTCTGGTAGTTTGCTTTGTGCCTTTGGCTTTTTCTCCTATATTACTTTTGTATTGTCATAGGTGCGTGGGGCTACGCGCTGCGTCGGCAGCAGCAGCAGCAGAGCTCGTCTGGTAATGCTGCGCTTTATGCTCTTCTTGTTTATCTTTGCTGTTCAATTGTTTCCAAATTGTGTTTAAGTGGTGCCAAATGTTTACCAACAATGTAAATATTTTGAATTTTGCCGGTAAATATGGCGGAATTGTATTTTCCAAAATGGCTCAAGTACTTTCTCCTGCGTACACTTTTGTTGGTGTTGGTGTTTGACAGCGACAAAGCCAAATGCAACCCTGTGTTGGCTTTGTTTTGTGTATGTATGGAACAAGTCAGCTTAGAGGCGGATGGTTTAAATTTCTGTTCAATTAAGTTAAAATTTTATTTAATTTCAGTTTAATATATTTAAATCGTATGAAAAATGAATTTTATTTATGTATTCATTTACTTTTTCTCTTAATAATCGCTATCGATAAGTGGAACTAGTCAGGGTTGCCTCCCCGTACCGGCTATTTAAAGCGAAATAAATGTGGTAAATATATTATGCATGTATGTATTTTATGTTATATCCTTTAAATATTTTCCGCTATCTATTTTGTGTATTAAAGTCGTTTTATTGTTTGAGTTTGTAGCCTTCCTCACTTTAAATAGAGCGTAAGCTCTTTGACTCGGTAATTAATCCTCCCAGCGGATAACAGCCCAGGACTTCTACATTTATTTTGATTTATTTTGTTTTATTAGAGTATTTTAAAATTAATAACATATGCTTTTTCTATACTATAAGTTCAAACAGGTGGAGAAACTAGAGCCAGGTATTAAAGAAAGGAATAAATTAATTTAATTAATTTGAATAATTTAAGGAAATGACCTCTATAACAAGTGGACAACCAATAAAAAATTTGCTCCAATTATTTTTAAATCCCAAGAATATAATTATGAATAGAAAAACATAAAAGAATTGAATTGAATGTTATGTTTCCAAATGTTTTGATTTTATTTTCTGAAGGCGTTTGGTCACACTGCGAAATATATATGTATGTACATATATACATATGTATGTACGTTTCAAGTTTCAGAGTTTTATAACTTTTGGTCTTAACCTTCATGTCTTAACTGTCATGTTTGACATTTTTTAAAGCGATAACTCTTACAGTAAAGTAGTTTTTAAATCATGTTTATGCGGTGATGATCCGAACAGAGTGCCTACTAGGGAAAGAAGTCACATTGTGGGATTCCTGCTAGCTAGCCGTTGAACTATGCCGGCCCAACTGAAAAATTATAAGGTTTGTTTCGAAAATCAGTTCGCACAAATTAATTTAAAAGGTAATTTGAAATTTAATAATAGAATGTCAGTTTGAAAGTCTGTATAATTATTTGGCCATTTTGTGCTGTAATACATTTAATCGAATCTAAATCATTGGCGGGTATACAATTACTAGTTACAGTTGACAAATAGGCATTTAAAAAGGTATTGTACCACACAGCTTTTGAACGCGAGCACTCTATCATCATCGAGCCGGCCGATAGGCAGCCCAAGTACATCCCTGAAGTCTCTATTCTTTAGAAATTACATACATTTTTGGAAAGGAAATCCAACGCACAAAAAACACGATTTTAAAGCGACTTATGAACGCGCACGTATCGCTGCGACCCCAAAGAAGTCGCGAAAGCTTGCACCTGCGTCTATTCAAAGTGCATTCGTTGTTTTTGCCGCTTATTTAGTCGCCGCTATTAGAAGCAGCAACAGCCCTCGCCCAACAACACCGACACTTCCACCCCCTACCGCGCCACTGCCGCACAATAGTGAAGCCTGCCACATACATAAAGACACAAACACAAAGCAATACAATAGTAACGCAACAATATGCAGGCGATTAAGTGTGTCGTCGTCGGTGATGGCGCAGTGGGTAAGACATGCCTGCTCATCAGCTACACAACAAACGCTTTTCCCGGCGAATACATACCCACCGTGTTCGATAACTACTCAGCCAACGTGATGGTAGACGCCAAACCCATCAACTTGGGTCTTTGGGATACAGCTGGCCAAGAGGACTACGATCGCTTGCGCCCACTGTCGTACCCACAGACCGATGTCTTCCTCATTTGCTTCTCGCTGGTAAATCCGGCATCGTTCGAGAATGTACGCGCCAAATGGTATCCGGAGGTACGTCATCATTGTCCCAGCACCCCAATCATACTAGTGGGTACCAAACTGGATTTGCGCGATGACAAGAACACGATTGAGAAACTGCGTGACAAGAAGCTGGCGCCCATTACATATCCGCAGGGTCTGGCTATGGCCAAGGAAATCGGAGCTGTCAAATATTTGGAATGCTCGGCGCTGACGCAAAAGGGCCTGAAGACCGTATTTGATGAGGCTATACGATCGGTGCTCTGCCCTGTGCTGCAACCCAAGTCGAAGCGCAAGTGCACCTTGCTGTAAATTTAAAGCACTCCACCATATACTCCCACACATGCACGCCCACAAAGCTTTGTATATGTCTGTTTGACTTCACGGAGCGTTCCCAAAATCATAATTTGATATTTCAATCTATGTAAACGTAATAATCTTAATGATAACAATTATACGCAACTAGCAGGCAGCAAGCGTGTTCAGCGATCGTCTTAAGGACTTTTCCTTAACCATACGACGTCCGCTTTGGCAATTGACGCGTCTCCAATTATCTTGTGAGTGTTTTAAACTTTTGTTAAATTTTTCACTAACTAGTGTAGGCGTGGAGATGCAACTCCACTGCCGACGCACGTTGCTCGCGGAGCTCGTGGTCAGCAAGAGCTTATTTTTTCTTAACTATTAAGTTCGTTCGAAGTATTTGTAACACTGTCGCTGTCGTCGTTTTAGTGTTTTGTTTTCATTTCCATGTGCATTAATTTGAACTTAAAGTTGTCGCGATATTTCTATTTGAAAAGAAACCATTAATCTGTATTGTATTATTTAACATTTTTGTAATTAAAATTAATGTTGTATAACTGAGGTAAAACCAAAAAAAAAAATATATATATATATAAAAATAAATGAAACCTATCTAAGGAGCCGAATAGCCGCAACAGCATAAAAATGTTAAGGGCAAGCCGCCTGTTTGTAGATGAAGCAGAGAGAAACGTTCCATTGCAATTACATACATACATACATAATTACATATTGTATTTAGGTGTTGATTGAAATGTTTGGAGATGTGACAGGTAAAATGTAAATCTATCGGATCTTTCCTATTGCAAGTCAAAAAGATTACCATCTGGGGTCTGCATTAAAATTGAGACGAACTTTTTAAAATGGCCAAGATCCTGGAACTATGTATAAGATGAAGTCCTTCGTATACTATGTACTGATTAAAAATACAACACAAATTCAGAGAAAGAAGATTTCAATACAAAAATCTTTGAATATTTTGTATTTTAAATATTCAAGCCAGAAGAATTAATTATATAAACGTGTCTATTTCAATGGAAATCAATAAAGAATAAAAAATATTAAACTTTTGTGTGGTATATCTGTGGAATCTATGTAGATGAAACAAACGAAAACATTAGAAAATGAAACAACCCAGTTTTTTAACGATTCTTTTTTACATTGTTTTAGAAGAAGTTTCCACATTAGTTTTTATTTTTAACTACCATATATACAACTAGTAGTATATTTTTTGTTTAAGCTGTTTAATTCCAGTGCTAGAAGAAAGAAGGTGGAACGCAATGTTTGATCGCAAGTTTTGGATACATATGTAATATTCGATGAATATATTATCAATCACAAAACATACAAACAATGGTTTTTACGACTTGGCAAAACAAATTTGGAATAAATTATACCAAGTTTCTATTAGATATGGCAGTCTACCATTAGTGTATTGAGATCCAACGCTTCTACAGGGTGCGCCATCTTTTATGTCGGTATGTAAATATTGAATATCTTTGTCATTAGTGAACCGATTGATTTGAGTAGACCAGTGTTGAAAACCTCAGTTCAAGAAATTGTACAGAACCAAATTAAATAAAAATATCTCATACTTGAAAATCGGTTGTTTATTTTCAAAGATTGAATATGTTTACATACCGACATAAAAGATGGCACACCCTGTATATCTTCTACTTCATTGACTTGGTTGCGAAAAATCGTAAAATTTAATAATAAATCTGAGCATCATATTAATAAAAAAGTTCATAAATTGGTAAATGGTACGCATTTTTACTGTGCCTATCACATTTTTATACTATTCGTATAAAGTCCATTGAGACAAATTCATTGAGTTGTTCGGTGGCGACTTTATTTTCCCATTCTTAACAAGCCTATTTTAAATGGCTTTAAGTTGGAAAATAAATGTTCGAATTTGTTTTTATTGCCATGAAAATGTCTCTTCTGTAGACATTCGACATGTGCTCTGGTTACACAGTCTGAGCGGTTCAACTGACACCATCCCAGTTAGTGTGAGCCCGGATGGCCCGCACAAAATGCTTATCTCAGCGCGAAATCCAGCCGACGAGTTGAAAGCCCCATCAGCGTTTAAAACAAAACAGCCGAATGTGGCGCAAGATTTATTTTATGCTGGAATGTTCTGTTCTCGCAGCTGGAAATTATGTATAATCGGAGAACGGCAACAGCAAAAGCGTTTTATGTTTATGAGTATGCAGTTGATATGTATACATACTTATACATGTACATACATACATATGTATACATGTATTTTACAAAGGCCTGTTTATAACGTATGTATGCATATGTGCGTGTGTTGTGGATGCCGGCCATTTGCTGGTGACGTGTCCATAAACAGAAATATTAAAAATGTACCTACATATGTATGTGTATCTATCTTAGGCACAGTCTGGACCACACGTCCATTTTATTCATGCTGACGTGTATGTACATTCATATACACAATCATTCGGCCAATCAATATGGGCTTCAATTAGACACTAAAATCAAATCACAATATTTTAGGTCTAACATAATTGTGTCGTGTGAGAAACGTCCATATGTGTGTATGTACAAAGATTATCTTTACGCTAATTTCTTTTTAATGCACTTTGAAGTTGCTTATAATTAGTTACAAATTATTTGGCATTATTCGTTTCCACATTTGCCCCAATGGCCATTCGAGATAAGAATATTGGACTAAACTAAACATGGGTAATCTCATAGATCAGGTGATAGATTCAGTGCTTGGAAATTAAAATTCGTCATGGCGGGCCAAGGCTTCACCAAAGTCCGTGGCCTGTGAGCCGACGAACACGTCATACTTTTCGAGAACTTCCGCCTTGGTCAATTGGTCGTCATTGTCATGATCGGCCTCGAAAATGAGATGCTTGGCTTCGCTTTCAGCATGATCGAAATCGGGGGGCACAATCCATTGACGCACTTCCTCCTCGTTAAGGTAGCCGTCCTTGTCTGTGTCACGAAACTTAGCGAATGCCTCACGTTCGCTTAATACCCACTCGGGCTCCTCCTCATCTGGCTCTGATGGCTTGTACATGTCTCCAATGTATTCATCCACAGAAATTTTGCCATCTTTATCCTTGTCCAAGTCTTCTGTAGTCTCCTTGAGCACCACATCGCGCATTGCTGGATGGTCCTCTGGATGCAAGAAGGCGGCAAACTCCTCACGGGTCAAGCTATCGTCCAAGTCAGTGTCTGCGACGGCCCACCGACGTCGATCGCGAGCCAGCATCGTCTTATACGAAAAGCCTGCAATGAATTGTTGTATTTTGGACGCGCACTTTCTTATACCACATTCTTTTCTTGCTTACCATGCTCCTCTCTCTCCAACTCCTCCTTGTCAAGGTCATCCATAAAGCCATACACATGCTGGCGATAACTGTCCCAACTGATTGTTTTGTTGTTATCCGGATTGTGCTGCTTCCACAAGCGGCCAACATCCTCGTCTATGTAGCGGCGTTGGGTGTACTTTATCCAGTTCTTCAGCTCTGCCTGAGTTACAAAGCCGTCTTTGTTCTCGTCGATGCGGTCCACAATCAGACCCAATCGCCGCTTACTCTCCTCCGGCGATAGCTCATCGAACTTCTTTGCCTCGTCAGCGCCCAAAAACGATTCGTGGTCGTACTGCGGATTGTGTTCGCCGAAATCAAAGTGCTTGGCATGATGAGAATCTTTCTCCAACGGATCATGTGGAGGCAGTTCATCGCCCGCCGGTATGCTGGAGGCAGTAACAAGACTTATCGCAACAAGTAACAGCGTCGCAAGCGACGACCATCCGACGTGCGCACATTTCATCTTGACTATTCAGAGACTAATGAGAAGTTATAGAGAGACCGGTGGCAAGACTGCTCCATCTACTGAAATCACTGTTCAAATTGATCTAAATAGCGAACTGAACTGGTTCCAAATGTTCTAAGAGTTTTAGTTTCCAGTGTTATCAAACTCTTAAATTGTTATCAATAAACATATACATATGTATGTAGCAAATCGTAACAAATATTGTTCTTATAATATATAAATAAGCGTGTATGTATAAATGTCAGACACATAGTTAATATTAAAGCTCGAATTTTAAAACATTTACCAATTAATTTCGATTTGTGTTCACAATCGTTAAATTTCAAATCGAATTTATATTTCATCCAAAAAACGGTAAATTTGATAATATTCTACTGGGTATTTATTACGAGTTTTCTCGAGCAGGTATTAAAAAATTATTTTTACAAATAAATATAAAGCTAATTTTTAAGCATTTAATTACTATTTTTCTGTCTATCTATGTATATAATACGTATTGCAATCATTTTTTGGCCACCACTCCAACATCGCTACTTGTTGACTCGTTGACATCTTGACCGAGGGAACTAAAGTCTCCTGTGTTGCAAGAGATGCTGGGTATATCAAAATTTGAGAATCCACGGTAGTTTGATACTTCGGGCTTTAAGGGTGATGGTAACAAAATACCCGTTGGAGGCGGCAGGTCGCTATCAATTAAACTAGCCGAGGAATCCGTTGTGGAATCTAGTATGCCTGATGTCATCGCCGATTGCGCTTCAACTTTTAATGTTCTCAATTGTTCTTGTTGCTGTGCCAGTGGATCGAATTCATCAAGATTCACATTGGAATCATCAGCTACGCTATTTTCGCCACTTTTGTCGGACAAATCAAAGTCATAGTTAATGTTGGTCAGGCCGCCCTGAAACTCTGTGCCCAACATTAGAACATCTGTGTTGTCAGACGACTCTTCTAGTAAGGAGACTGCATCAAAGGGCCCATAATTGAAAATCGGGGATGCAAACAATTGATCAGGTTGCGGTAGCGTTGTGTGTAGAGGTGACAGGTGTCCAGCTGAACTGATGCTGACATCCTTGAGGGCTAGTGTATGGGCTGCATCGGCATAGCGTTCATCAGGAGCCAGGAGTGTGGGCTGGCTCTTTGCTTTATCGGTACAAGAAACATCCTTCACATCAATTGCATTAAGCAGATTTGACTGATAGTGACCGGAACTGATAAGGGCCGCGGCGTCATCGCTGCTATGATTCAATTGTGCACGTGCTTGGCTAATAAGGAATGCTGGTGTCTTGATGGGCAGCAGCGTGAGTGGCGCCTTAGCATAGACTGTGTCTACCTTCCTCGTGACCTCACTTTGAAACTCTATAAGCTCACGTTCAAATTCTGAGATGCCTGTAGTAATAACCATATTACGTTTCTTCAACAGTTCCATGCGCTTCATATTTTCTGAGATCAGATGTAAACTTTCGCAAGCTAATAGCGCGCTCTCCCACGGAGTACTGTAGGGTTTCTCACCAGACATAAGCGCATCAAACTCTTCGCAACTGATGTTTAAACTCTCGCCGTTAAGATTCTCGATAAAGGCAATAGCCGAGCACAGGTTAGTAAAGTAATAGCCCCCTTCGCCGCTCATAACACGCGCTGCATTAGTAAAGCGCGTAACAAAATTTAGGTTGCTATGCAGACGGACGGGATTCGCCTTTAATACCACGAAGATAAGCGCTGGAAGGAAATCATCAGCACTTGCCGGACCACCAGTTGCGCGTTTTAGCAGTTCGAAGATATGCCGACAACAGCGAACTGTGCACTCCAGCTTTTCCTGTGGTGAATAGTATGAGTCTATCCCCACTAATTCGGAGATGGCATTATAGACCAGATCACGCGATTCGGCATTCACTTCATCAATGCTGCAGTCCAGATGCTTAGCCGTAATCCAGCTCAGCTGGCGTATGCGTTTCTGCACCTTTGCATCGTTCTCCTCATCGGCGGTAAAGTACGGACTGAAGAGAAATCTGCAAACACAAAAGCCGTCGTCAGAAATAGAATTGGGGAATAAGAGCATGACTCACTTGTGATTCTGCGTCATCACAACCTTCTCAAAGAAGTCAATGGCACTGTCCCGGTCCTCGTTGGACACTATTTGAAAACTTGGATCACTGTGCACTAAGTCAGCGAACCTAGTGTATGCATTTTGCACCATTTCTGAGAGCTCATCGATGTTCTTGTTATTGCTGTTTGCAGTGCTGTTCATGTAGCGTTTGATTTCCAAATCCAAACGTTGGATTTCCTTCTTTAGCTTGCGTTTGCCATCATCTGGAATTCCGAGTTGGCGCAATTGAAGCATGAATTGATTCTCGGTGGGATCTGGCACGTAGTGTTTTTGTGGCGTCACTGCAAAAGGGGAAAACCCATGTTAGTAGAGGTTGTTGCAGAGGTTGTTTTTTGTTTGTGGTACGTACACTTCTGAGCGCCCACCTGGAGCGTCTTCTGTAAAACCGTTGGTACAATTGATTTCTTTTTCTGCAATGTCTGCGCTACGTCACTACTGCCCTGTGGTTGTTGCTTATCCCGCTCCTGCTTGTTCTTCTGATGCGGCCGCCCAAGTAAGTTCTGCGGAGATATGCGCTCCATTGTGCCACCTGTGGAAGTGAGCACAAGTGAGCTGCTGCTCGCACTGGCCTTCTCTGAAATTTTCACAAAACACAAAGAAAAGTCGACTTCAGTAAATTGGTACACTGTAGATAAACAAGGGACGCTTACGTCGTTTCCGCTCATCATTGCGTTCGCGGAAACACTTCGAACAGAGTCCATCGAACTGTGCATTGCCATAAAAGCCACAGCCCCTTTTACATTTTAGGTCTTGGGTGCCGATTCTCAGTTGCGGAGCACGCCCTGTCGAATACATGCGTGTACTGTAGATGATTTATAATTGAGATTATTCTTCAAATATTCGCAATGCCCTCTTATCCGTCTGGGAATACAGCTTAGAGCTGCCACGCAGTTGGAAGCCAAATTTACTGAGTGGCCGAAAAACATGGCAGCTCTGTGTTTTGCATTTATGTACCAGTGGCTGGAACTGGTTCATGTCCACATTAACGTTCTTGTAAGTAATCGATAGTTACTTAATAGTCCGCTATTATTCAAAACGGAAATATTATTTTGTGTAAACGATGCCACTTATTCCATAATTCCCACTAACCATTCAGCAATGAAATATATATATTTTATTTTCACTAAAATTAAATTTTAGTAAGTTTATTAAAACGAAACATTTTAATTGCAAATTATAGTATTTTGATTTATATACTGTGCTAAGTACATTCAGAGAATTTGAGGTGCCATAGGATTCCAAAAACAAAACAAGTTTTGCTCATACAATGCATAGGCGCATTAGCTTAAACATAATCTATGTACTTTTCAGTTTTTTAATAAAATTAAATGGCAGCTTCGAAAGATTTAGGGGTCTTACATATAGGACGGTTACACATACATTCAGATGATACTTTGTTTTTTTTTTCATACATACATATATGCAAAAGTTTGATTTCAACACGTATACAAAGAAATTTCATGAATAGTATAGTCATGTATGTATGTGTATATGTAAATATGTAATCGCAAGCTAATTGGGGTACAACAACAATTTGAAAAAGCTCAAAAAACACATAGCCTATGACTAGAATTCTAAAAAGCGAGATGCCCTAATTTCTCTACATTCCAATTCAATTTCTAACATGTTGTTCCCAATGAAAAATTCAAATCTCAGGCGCAAAACTAAATCCCACAATGCATCTAGTTTGATATACACTAATTGACGCACCCACTTGTTACCCTACTTGCCATCAAATGCAGCCAACTACTTGTTGCCCTACGAGCATCTAAATTAGGGCCAATTTTTAATGGACCTTATTACATAGGAGTATTACAAATTACTCGTTTCTAACAGTACAAAGATTTGAAAACCCAATTTGTTGTTGATGCTTCCATAATTAATTAGTCTTAGTTTTGCTAATATTCTGCTACATCAGCACAATTGCTGTCTCTTTGTCCTCGAAATGCATCCTTGTCTAGCTGCGCTCACTACCCTTAATTACGTATAACCAATATGCTAGCAGCCATAGGACCCTTTTCCTATTGAGGCGCGTTAGTCATAGGATCAGGACTTCTTTTTGACTTATCTGACCGATTTTGATATCAAGCAGCCAGTTAAGCAGTTTGCAGCCGAATGACATTCCTGATTCTCTGACTGACCCGGGTCTATAGGAATTTGGATAAGACTATAGTATATTTTTGTCTTTGTAAATTTAGCAATTCAACCATTTCAAAAGTCTCTCGTCTATGCTTTATAAGTAGTTTTGAACTTACATTTACACTAACAATGTATGTCTTTGGCATGCTACCTTAAGTTTTGAACTCATGTATTTAAAATGTAATTAACTTTAACGTTTCCAACATTTGCGCCATAGCTTTGGTTTTAGTTTTGATTCAACGAGTTACTTTGGTTTTGATGTTTTTTGATACTACTGTTATTTTCTAGAAAATATTTGATTTTTCGCATTTGTATAAAATCAAGTCTAACATTTTACTTGAATAAATTCCGTTTTGAAAAAGTATTTCTTACCGACAGACTGCAGTTTAAAGTATTGGCTAAAATATGTTGACATTACGACTTTAATGTGTACCCTGTGTTATCTTTTTCGTAAAACTTCGATGAAGAGCTTTTCCTAGAGCGCCCAATCTGAATGATGCAACATATAGTTAGGCTATAAACGAGTTTTAAATACATGTAACGATTAAAAAGTCAGCAATGTTTTTGTGTTACGCGACATGGTCCTAACTATGATGAGCTATCGCAAGACCGTGTTCCCGGAACGTAGTTCTGCTAACTGAAATATTTAAGACCCGCAATTAACATAAATTTCTCGATGAATAACTCTGAATCGAGCACAGCAATATGTGCAGCTCGTCCGATTAGCGTATTGGCCGTATGGGGAAGCGCATGGTGAACATCAAAGCGGGCCAGCGTCAGTTCTGGACGTGCTAGCACGGGTGCAATAATATTGTGTACCATTTCCCTGCAAGAGTTCGAGGTAGTCATGTTATTGCAAGAGTTACGCGTTTTTATAAACCCGTGTTACCTGTATACAGTGCCCAGATTGGAATTGTCGCGTATGGCCGCTTTACAGAGCTCCAGTCGTGCTGAGTGTGCGGGCACATATCGGTCCTGACTGGAACCGCATAGGAGTATATTCTTGAAGTGATGAAGCGTGCTCCGTTGACTCAAGCGATACAAAAAACTGTTACGTATGTCAGTTGTATCCCGCATACAGAGTTGCAGGAGGGAGCCCGACTTCTTCCACTTCTGCATGAACCACATTCCTGCAAAAATCAACGTACACGTAAGTCAGTCACAAGGAAAGCTATTCTAGGATCTGAATTCATTTACCCATGTTTACCAAGCCGCTGGTATTGTAGAGCGTACCCAAGTGAGGACCAGACAACGAGAGGAAGGTGTGCAGACGAGGCAGTAGAGGACGCATTTGTGGGCGTGCTAGGGCACTCCTTACAATGATGGTGCCGAGGGAGTGGGCGACGAAAGAAATGCGCGCTGGATTCAGTCCGCAATTATCGATATGGTATAATATTTCGGCGACAAGCCTATAAAAGAAAGATAATGTTAAAATTCGTGACTATAATGGAGAATTGTCATAAGTACTAACCGATCGGTCATGGTATCGAAGTCGGAAAAGGTGTCGCCCTGATTACGCTCAGACATGAGGAACTCAAGGTTGACGCCTGGCAGGCCCAGCTCCAAATATGTCCGTACGAGTCTTAGATCTGCCGAGTTACCATCCAGACCATGTACGCAGATTATCAAATGCATGCCATTGGGAGAAAAGGCGCGATATTCATCGCTGATGTAGAAATAAGGCAGCTCGGAGGCGAGTTTTACAAAATCTGAATAAATACTGCCGGTGTATTTGATCTGCTTGCGAAACTCCTCGCGGCATTTCTCAAATTCAAGTAGCGACATATTGGCATCATTGGCCTTTCGCTTGTATTTTGAGCTGCTAGACCTTTGGCTGTCGCTGCGCACCATCGGCGTTTGTTGTTGAGACGTTCCATTTACTAAGCCATTCGAATTCTCTTTATTTTCATCCTCCTCCGTCTCTTGGTAGTTCAAGCAGTTGCTTCCGTTCTCATGTGTTGAAGTTCCATTCACTATGATTGTGGAGTTGAGCGGAGCTGGCGCTATTGGCGGCGGTTGATGTTTGCTGTTGGGACACTGATGATTTGGTGGATTGACCAGCAAATCCCGGCTGCGCTTCAGTTCTGCAAGACTTTGCGACTTGAGCACCGGCTTGTTGCTGAAGATGGCTGGTGTCGACATTGGCTTCAGGGACTCGTAGATGTGGTATACGGGATTGTCTATTGCACCAACTGGCTGACGTTGGAGCAGCACCGGTTGCAGTTCCTTTAGTGGTGGCTGCGATGGCTTTGGTGGTATCGATTGTTGAATTTGGTGACCAAGGTGCAGACCAGGAGCTGGTGGCAAAGACAGCACCAACTTACTGGGATCAACACCAATCGACTTCTGTTTGTGGGGTTTCGTGGGCTCTGGCATGCTTGGAGTAGGTGTCGGCTCGAGTGGCGGGTCTCTAAACTCATCGGGTGGCAGAACATCCTGATCCTGGAACTGCTGAGGGGGTGGCACACAAACGTTGTCTAACGGTTGTATATCCTTCAGACTGGTTATGTCAAAATCTGACTTTGATTTTTCGCACTTTGAGTTGTTAGTCCGGTTGCGTGTGCGTCGTTGAATTGGCGGTCGTTCCATATCCTCTACCTCTGTGGATTCCCCATTGGGTAGCTGACGCAGACGATCCAACTGAAAGCGCGAACGCTCTTTCTTGATAGTCAATGTTACTGAGGAGACCTTCTTTTGCACCGTCATATCCGTCGGTTGGGTCTTGGCGGGCGTGCGGCTCTGTGCACTAGAGGCCGCCGACTGACGCTGCTTCTTGGACTTGTGAGGATGTGCTTGAAGCTGTTGCTGCTGGTCCAGCAAGTTCTGTAGCCTCAGGCGCAACTGCTCGCCGTTCAGCTTTGTCTCCATACCCATACTGAGCTGCGTCTGTTGACGCTGCTTTGTTTCGTTCGTAATAGTGTCGGGACTAGAGGGACCGCAAGAGCTGCGTCGACTTGATACCCAGCCGCTCTCCTCGCTGAGCGATGAGGTGGAATTGCTACGCACACGTCGCTGTGGATCCGAGTCGAATTCTGGAGGTGGTGCCAAATTGGGCAGAGACTCACTGAAGCCACTGGTGTTTGGGTCACTGCTAGTCGTTGTTGTTGTGGTCGTATCTAGCCGATAAGGTACGCTGCTTGAGCAGAGCAGCTTCTGTTCGGCGCTGGTCTGACGCACTTGTACCGGAATGTCGCTCTCCGAGCTGCTTGATTCCTTGCGTAGATTTCCACTGCCATTCTTCAGCATCTCCTTGATGTCTGAGACGCGGACCCGTGCAATTTCTACGGCACGTGGTATTGTGGAGCAGACAATCGGAGCTTGCAGATGTTGCTGCTGATGGCGTAGCGCTTGCGATGAATTGCTTCGTGGCATGGTGGTATATTGAAGGTCTGTAAATGGCGTCTGTGCCGCTAACTTCTCCTGATCCGTTTGGCCATTTGATATTACCGGTGGGTATGAGTTACGAGGCAACACCACACCATTGGCCATGTTCTTGGGCAGAGAGTTGTAATAGGTACAGGTGGGCTGCTTGGGTGGATTAAGCATCTTTATCTCATGTAGATAATCTAAGCGACCAACTCCATTCTCGTTGCCAGAGGGATTCTTGTACTTTTGCCGAAATTCTGTAAGATTACGCATTAAATCCTCGGCCTGCACCTTGTTGCCGGGTCGAACCATGCCCGCGGGCAGTGTTTTGTAGGAGGATGCAGTGTCTCCATTAACATGTACTTGGCGGTAGCCGCCGAATGTCTGCTGTATCAGAGCAGCGGTTTCTTTGCGTGGGTAGCACAAGGTCTGAACCTGACGCAAAGAAGGTGCGCTTTGCACTGCGCTGCCATCCAATTGATCTAATGACTTGCTGTGGCGTGTGGGCAGCGGTCCGCTTCCCATGGTGCAGTCCGCGACATCGGTCCCAGCAATACAGTCCAAATCCTCCAGCAATCCTGTCACCGAGTGCCGCGACAAATTGTGCCTCTGGAGTCCTGGTGTTGAGAGAGCCATGTCGTCAGTAACGCAGGGTAATTGCTTGGTGATAACGGCGCTGGGTGTGATGGTCAAGCTGGCCTGTAGGATCTCGCCACCTAGTGCAAAGCGAGGAGTCACCAGACACTTGGGGTGACCATGACCATTTCCATTTATGCTTTGTGGGTAATCGTAGTTGAAGTTACAGGCCAGACAATCCTTATTCACTGAATTGGGCGTCGGGGTCGGAGTTGCTGTGGTCGCTGCAGGGGTCGCATGATGACCGTTCAGACTGTTATTGGAGTAAGTCTTATCGAGTGATAGAGCTGCATTGGTGACACTCTTATTCTTAGTACCACCAGCAGGGTGGTCATGTGCATTGAGATGCGGATCGCTGCCAGAACGACGTCGCGCATAATTTGGGGGCTCCACATAGCGATCCTCGAAAATTAGCGGCAACGAACACGTGTCACCATCGATTGGCGTGCAATGAACAGGCAGCGGCGGCAGCGATTGCATGTAGCGACTGCGCCGGGCAAGCTCTGCGATGGCCACATAGTTCTGGTAGTTGCTATCATAACAGCCGGCAGCCGAGTGACGCGGGTTCTCCATCACAAAAAAGCCCTCCGAGAATCGGCGTACCCTTAAAATGTGGTGCTTGCGAGCAAGCAGTGTGTGAACCGATTGTTGTGTCGAGGCGAGCAGAACACGACGCCAATACATGATGGACTCGGCGCAGAGCTGGGCAATGTCCGAGTTGGCGCGAATGGCAAAGTCCTCTTCCACATCGTGTAACTACAACAGAAAACAAATTTTATTAATTTTTCTTGCACAATATTAATGGAATTTAAAACACCTCTGTTATGTTTTATAAGATTGGTTTTTATACCCTGTTCTCGTAGGGTAAAAAGTGTATATTAGGTTTGTTCAAAGGATGTAACAGGCATAAGCAAGCATTTCCGACCCCATTAAGTATATACATACATATATTCTTGATCCGGATGACGAGAGATAACGATATAGGTGTCCGTTGTCCATCTGGATGAACGCCTGGATTTCGGAAACGGTTAGGTGCACATTAACCAAACTAGGTATATAGACGCTCCTAGTCCCTAGGCTACACGGGTTTATTTATTTTTATAGCCTGTACCCAAAGGGTGAAAGGCTATACTAGTTTTGTGCGCATGTATGTAACACACAGAAGGAGGCGTGGCAGACCCCACAAAGTATATATATTCTTGATCAGGATGAGAAGACGAGTCGATATAGCCATGTCCGTCTGTCTGTCTGTCCGTCTGTCTGTATGAGCGCAAGGATCTCAGTAAGTACAAGAGCTAGGATAACCAAAATTGGTATTAAGGTTCCTATAAGCCCTAGGCAGAACGAGTTTGTTTATTTTTTCTGATACACCCCCCCACTCCCCCGCAATTTTTTCTTATAACTTCCGTAATTCTCGGAATTTTAAAATCAATTTTGGTAGGTACATCCAGTTAGTACTAATGTGTCCGTGTGCCAAATTTGATGTAAATGTATGCTGTTTAAACTGAACATAAACATGTATTCTAATTTAATTTAATTAATTATTTTAATTAATTAATTCATTCATTTTTTTTTAATAATTTAATTTTAAAAAAATTTTTTTTTTTTAATTTTTCCTTTTTGTGGAGAGTACAGGCTATTTTACTGTCGGGCTTGCTCGACTGTAGCGTTCTATCTTGTTTTTTTTGATTATCCCCTCCCCTTCCCCGCTGCAGACTTTCGTCAATACTGTCCACATTTCAAAAGTAACATAAACCAAACTGCACACGTAGTCTATACATAAATATCTACTTTTGTTTCCAATTTCATTGAAACCGGTCAATTGTAAGAAAAGTTAGTAGCGAAACAATTTCACCCCAGAACTACGCCCACAAAGTGGAGCATCAAATTCGCTCTTCTTATTCTTGTTTCGGTTGGGCGCATATATGTAACTTAAAGTAGAAAGTTTGTCGGGATACAGGATATTTCACTGTTGGGCTTGCTCGACCATAGCGTGCTCTCTAGTTAAACTTCACAAAGATTAAATACAAATATGAAGTAAGTATATTTGTGAAGATTTGAGATGTTTCTGGCATAGCGTCAAATATTTTATAGCAATAGAAGTCGTTGTATAATACTCTGGAGGTTTCCAAGGAATAATAGATTTGATTAGGACTTTAAAAAAATAATTACTAGCATATCTATTAGTCTGTATTTCTAAGTAATCTAAGTGACCAGATATATATTTATATAATCCTATTCTATGAACAAATTTTTTTGGAAAATTTATAGGACAATCTTTTTGGGTTCTGCAGGTAACTATAAAGACCTCGTAATCACAATTTAAAATGTAAGTGACAAGTCTTCTTCCTGACAGCCGCTCTCTATTATATATAATTTTATTACTTAGAAGTAGCATATAAGATGGCATATATTTAAAAAAAATCGACTACCATAGCTGATTACATCTACTTTTCATTATGGAGCGTTTCTTACCTTTGCCTGCTCCATCAACAGCTGCAGTCTTTCGTTGGTGTCATTTTCGCGTAGGGGTGGCGACCCTATCTGGCTATTAATGCTTGGCGGCAGCACTGTGCTGAATTCGTTCAGTGTTGCCTTCAGGTTCTCAATGGCGCCCAGAAGTAGGCAACAGATTTCGCGATGTATTTGACGCGACTGGAGAAGCCTTCCAGCGGGGCCACCACTACATTTCGTAGTGCCTCCGATTTGCGGTCCAAAAAAGACCGCTTCCAACGGACCCGGTGAGGTGTTACCGCGACAGCTCAGCTTTCCGGCGCTCCAAGGCTTCGAGCTCTTCGGAGCACTGCAACAGATGTAAAACGAGAGGATTAAAGCAATCTCTGGTTTTGGAACATGGTCTAGGTAGTTGAACTAAATACAGGAAGCGCTAATCGAAAATGAATTTCTTGCATATACACGCACACACAGACAAAGAAAGCATTGAAAGTATGGCACGCTCCGGCTACGAGTACGAAAAGTGGCTAGACCAATCTACGAGTAAATACGAGTGTGAGCTATGAAGTACCAGAGTCTCGGATCTTACCATAACTTTATGTAATTGAAAATTCTTTTCCTTTACGGTTTGTTTAAGTTATTTGTTGGCGCCGTCACACCGAGCGCGTCAATCGGATGTGTGGGTTGTGTGGGTTGATCCATTGGTTTTATTGTATGATTTTTATTGATTCATTTTGGTATTGGTCGGGTTTTTCGGTTTGGTTAAATTTGAAACATGTTGAGCGTAAAATGAAATAAATGCATTGAGTTGGATTTTAGAAAATGAAAATTGATTGATTGGCATACATTAGGGTTTTGCAATAGGGGCTGGTAGCGGGATTGTGTGTGGACCTATGTAGATAAATGAATGCACATATTATTAAGCGGCAATTGCAGAAAATGGTGTTAAACGATCAATATAAAAATATATATTAAATCACTTAAATATGTATGAATATATTGTAATATGAAATATCCTTTTCACTGTAGACAAGGTATCCTCAGATACATTGTAAGCTCTAATGTATGTGCAAAAATTAAATAGCATATATCTATTTGTGTTATTTAATTAAATCAATTGCAAGCTTGATGTTCGCTTACGTTGGTGGAATAAAAAATGCTGTGGTCTAGTTCAAAATAAAATAAAGCTGGTAAAAATAAAAACAAATGTTAGCTAAATAAAGACAAAATTTAAACTATTTTAAATGAGGATTATCGATCAGGAACATTATTCTAACTCAAGTCTATTTTTTTACTAAAGTTATATAGTTGGTCTAAAATTCAGATAGCAACAGTTTTAATTACAGTTATGGGCCTGAATGCAATTAATTTATTGTTCCGATAGTCATCAAAGAAAACAGTCGAATTCATTTCGTATACTCTTTCGCTTGTGAATTAATGAAATAATATATTCAAATATTTGTGAAATTCGAAACAATACCTATAAATATATAATCTAATTGAGCAAAGCCATCAGTTCTGCTCTTCGATACGAGGAAACAACGTCTTAAATTTAAGGAAAATTGCTAAGAATTCTGTGGATGGCAATTTAAACGAGCGATTGAGTAAAATATGCATTTTGCACATATTCCTGGCTTGCGGCTTTCGAGACTGAAATTCAGCCACAACATCTTTTTTGGCTTTCAGCGCACGCTGTGGCTCAGAAATGCATTCCATAGATAGTCAGGCAATTTGCACTCAATGCTCTTGAAATGGGGGGACGGGGTATGTGTATCCATTAATTCTGCTTCAGTTGAAAGGCCAAGGTCAGAAGAAAATTCCAAACAGAGTGGCTGATATTTTATTCATGTTGTTATCTGGGCGCATCGCTCTGAAAGCGAGCATTAAAATGAGCACTCACTACGGGCATCGTTGGATTTTGAGTTTTTGTTTCATATTTGTGGCAAACTATTGTGAAATTCAAACTAAGTGGAGTATTGCGACCAGGCGGGAGGTGACAGCAGAGAGGAAGGGGGAAGGAGGCAACTTTTAGCGATACAAAACAGATTAAAGAATTATTCAAGAACTTTTCGCTACACTTGCTGTACAAACTTTTCATGAATCAAATGGCGTAAAAATTGACTGCGCCAAGGCAGTGGGAAGTTTTGAGGCAGAGCCTGCAGCAAGGACACCACAACGGCGCTGCTACGCTGAAGTCTGCAGGTGCCGTTTGCAGTTCGGCCAGATGCAAAGGAGACAATTGTAATGCGAGAGTCATTAAAATGTGTAGTAGACGGTTATGTGGGAAGGTGCTTGGATGCATACGCGTACTGTAGGTGACTGTACAAGTAGGTGTCCATGTGGGTGTAAGTATGTTGATGAGGGTGTGGGTGTGGGTGTGATTTGAGTGTGTGTTACCGAAGGTGGCATGCGACTTTTGTGCCCCAGTTTGGTGGCAACTGCCGCGCTGTTGACTGTGCAATTTTAATGAGTTGGAAATGACTTGTGTGTAGGATGTCTGACCGTCCTTTGCTGCAGCAGACAAGTCTGTCGCTTTTCATTGGTGCTGCAATCAAGCGGACACACGCAGGCATACAGACGGACACACACACACACATACACATACACACTCACACTTTGGTTTAATTTACTGGAAAAAATGGCAAACGTTATAGTCGAGCATATATGGCTAAGAAATATCCTCTCGATAGACCATAATTAATTTTTATGTATTACAACTAAATGGGAATTAAGAATTAGACAAATTTCAACTCATCCTCTTTTTACCTGCAATTCCTGAAATTATTTTTCCCAGATCTTGAAATTACATTAAACATTGAAAAGCTTTGAATTCATTTCTGGCTGTTTTGAATTTGACTTTTAAATAAAAATTTAAACGAGATTTTGTTTAATATGACGTTCAATCATGCTGTAATTTGTTATAGTTTGTCAAAGAGTAAGTGGAATGATATTTTAGCGTAGCTTCGAAATCTTTAGCAGGAAATGCTTGTAGTAAAAATAATTCAGATTGCCTATATCTTTGTTCTGGACGAATAAATAATACTTGTATATATACATGTATATCTGCCACCTTTCAATCTAACATAAATTATTTTCCCGTTGGTTGTAGTGCATAAATAAAAGACTATTAACGTTGACATTAGGGATCATGTTGTCGTCTCAAAAGGCGCAATAAGGAGGAACTTTGCCCTCGTCTGACTGGGATATGCAGATTCGTGAATCTGTCGCCTGGGTCACCCTTTCCCCTGGTACTTACTTAATGTATGGCTGGTGTAGTGCCACCAGACTGGCGTGTATGCCCACACTAATGGCTGCCAAGTGGAAATAGTCGAACAGCACTGGTAAATGGTAGTGCAGACCACGGCCCGGATGAAAGTTGAGCTGCAGTGTACGGGTGGAGGCCAGCGCCAGATTGCTTGTGCCATTCTGCTCACCGAACCACAATTCCAGCTGCAGCGAGAACTCGGCCCTTTCGATGGACTCCTTCAAGTGTCGACTGTCAACTGCAAAGAAAAGCGGAGAGAGAAAAAGTACGATATTGTTTAAACATTGCATTAGAGAATGCGACAAGTATTGACATCGCTGTCGTCAATATGATAGCGTCAAATGAAATTTCCTGCAATTTCGATTGCTTCCACAATGGCAAGCTCGGAGCATAACCAAAGTAAATCTGGCGTGCAAACAAATTTCTAGGCAATCGAATACGTAAGTATTTGAGTTTCTTCCTTTCTTTCTTTGAATATACATATATGTACGTGTATTCTGGAAATGTTCGCTACGGTTCCCGCTCCATGATTGTCTGCCATTGATTGTCAAATATCCGTTTGCTGAATATGTGTACAAGTATAATTTTTCCAAATTAGGTAATCGAGCTGGCGTTGAAGCATTTCAAGTGACCCGATTTGGGTAACAAAAATCAATCCACATTTCCAAACGGCTATGGGAGGAATATACATATGAATACTAACTTAAACGTCGATACAAGTTTACCAAACAACTTCTGTTTTCAGCTGTGAAAGCTCAATTGAATAGCCAGTGTATACGGACCTACTTTTATCAGATTTTGAGTTGCTTTAGGCTTTAAAATCGCAAGGTATTGAAATATGGATTGATTATTTCACACTCTGTCTAACATAGTACAATATACAACCTATTTTCATTGAATTTGAACAGATAAAGGTAAATCAGATTCAATTAAAATTTGTCATCGCACAATCAATGTCCAAATCAATCATCTGTGTGTGGTAAACTTGATTCGATTCAACTTGAATTACTTATTACAGGTCCTTTCATTGTTATTGCTACTTGGTGTTCGATTGGTAGTTTGGCCAATGAGCGCTTGACTATTGTGGTTTAGTTAGCCTTTAATGCCAGTAACATTGCCTTGTCCCTCAATACTTGCGACAAACTCCCGTGTGCATTACAAAATGTATTTCCTTTCATAAAATAAGGATTTACGGAATAACGCTGTAAAGGAAAAGGGAAAATCTTGCCAAAAGTGTTAAGGAGGAAAAAAAAGAAAGGAAAATGTGCAACACGTTGGGTGAAAATATGATTGCCAGTCAAAAAAGGGAACAGTTTTTATAGAATAGGTGAGAATAATCATTATAATTAGAGTTAGTATACATATATTGCTTTCGAAGAACCGCTCCTGCCTCTCCCATCTCATTAGAGAGGTTATATCATGTGTTACTATTAGAAAATGCTTTTTCATGCCACACTTTTTAGAGATTAGTTGCTCATGTGGCTAGTTTTATCTGAAGGGGATAATTACTCATCTATACTACAAGTATATCTACTATATACTAATATTATAAAGAGGGAAGATTTGATTGTTTGTTTATTTATTTGCATTGAATAGGCTCCGAAACTACTGGAGCGATTTAAAGGATTCTTTCACTGTTGGATTATATTTAAAAAAAAAAATAGAGATCCTTACTAAAACGCCAATAGTGTAACCCAAAGTATAAAAAAATTAACTAAAAAATTCCTGAACAGGATGCTGTTAGTGCAGAATCATCCTCGGAACATTATGTCCATTTAAATTCACCAAGTCCTTTTGAAGTAAAAATCGGAATTCCAAACATGTTTTTGAGAAATTGAAGCTCTCCGACAGTGTGCGATGGGACGAGGCTGCTTATTAAGGAATTGCAGGACTACTTAAGTGCAGCAATCATTATCAACGTCACAGCAGCTGGTCAACTAGCTCGTATACTATAAATAAATTAAGTTTTTTCATCTTTAAATCAAAGCAAAATATATGTATATATATGAATATATGTATATAAATTTATAATCATCTTTTCGCAGCCAGTTGGGTATAGCGCATATGTCGTAGAAGTTGGGTTGGTTTGTTTACATATACGTATATATATTTTTTTGCATTTTAAATTCTGCCAGCTATGAGGAATATTTTATTTGCTGTGGCAACGTTGACAGGGACAGCATCAACTTAGTGTTTATTTGCAGCTGCAAGTGTTTCAAGAAACCATTTTAAATGTTCGCACAATGCAGCCACAACACTTCAGTAGACAAAAAGCAAGGAGTGCTCAACATGTGGGGAAATAAATTGCAGTGCTCTTCCGCCTTAACAGTCTCAGCTGGGCTTGGAATGGTGGCAGGGAGGAAGAAACAAAAGGGGTATGATTTGTGCATAAAAGGAACAGTTAGTTTTTGCTTTTCCCAGGGCTCTGTGCCAATTCCACATACTGGCCGAGAGATCTGGCAAAAGTTTTGCGAATGAATTAATCAGTTGATGCGTACAACAATCTCAGCCACTTTGTGTTCTTGTTGTTGTAGCTCTACAAGGCTTTAAGGGCTTGGTTGGCATTGCTTTTGTTGTCTTCGACAGCTTTGTGCTATAGACTTTTTGACAAAAGATGCAATACCCATCCACCCCCACCACAAATAAGTACTAGAATAAGTGCTACGAAGAATTTAGCTTTAACGGTTTTACGAATTTTCCGATTCCAGGTTTGATTTTTATACTTTGTACATGAAATGTACAAGAGTATATTAGGTTTGCGGGAGCTGAAAATGTAAATGGCAGAAGGAGGCGTGACAAGAGGAGTCGATCTATGTCTGTCCGTATGAACAGCTAGATCTCAGAGACTATAAGAGGTGGAGACACCAAATTTTGCACAAAGATGCCTTATGTGTGTACGCTGTGCAAGTTTTATTTTTTTGATTTTCCCTCCCACTTCCCCCCTATGGGGGTTTTCGCGATTTTCCATTCATATAATCGCCTATATCTCAGACACTATAAGAGCTAGGGACACTAAATTTTAGTCCCAGATGCTTTATGTGAATGCGCAGAAATGAGCAATTCTCTATAACTCCCGTATTTCTTGGAATTTTTCAATGAATCCAGATAGCGGTTTGAGCCCGTATTTAACAGGGACATATATGTATATATGACCGAGCAGTGTCCGCAGCTGTTGTGGTTGTTACTGCTTTGCACAGGCACACGAGACATACACATACACATAAATACGTGCATAATTATTCTACACATATGTACAGAGTATTTCAAAGTCGGGACACCCGACTTTAGCTTCTCTACTTGTTTTTTTCCATATGTCCTAGGTGAATCAAAAAGCTTTAAATCGAAAAAGGACAGGTGCTTCAACTTTGAATTTATTCGTTTATATTTTCGAAGAATTTTTACTCACATAGTTTTAGATGGATGAATATATTTCTTGCGAGAGGTAATGGACACTTAAATAATGAAATGAAAACTGTACGACTGTCTGTCAAGTGCTCGTATCACGAAAAGAGCCCACATTTCACAAATTGGGGAAAGTCAGAGCGTCACGAAGGAAAATTGTGCACGACAAACACCTTTAAATCATTTCATATCATATAAATACTATACAAGTATGTACGCGCATTTGTGTGGCGAAGGCATTTGTTTACTGCATGCCATCCGAACAAAACAATTTTCCAACGCACAGCGTTGCTTTTTATTATAATTTTATTTTTGTTGCTTGTCGCCCGGAAACTGTTCTCCTCGTCCCTCTTGGCGCTGGCTCTGGCGTTGAGGGTTTCGTCTTCATCGCGACCGTCGCCGCTTCCATTTCCTCTTTTACCGACAACGATGCTCGTTAAGGAGCATTCGCTCAAAGGCCTGGCTCTACATCTTGATGAAATTTATTTTCAATTTGTGTTGCGTTGCTGTTTAAGTTTTATGCTTCTCATATTGTGCATAGTTTTCATATTTGTCCCTTTTCTTTCTCCGTTTTTTCCTCTTTTGGTATTTTTATATAAACACCTAGTCCCTTAGTGTGGCGTTTTTGCCTTTTAGTGTCGCGTATTGGGGTCATTCCGTCGCAGGAGTGTGCGCCAAGTGTTTTGTCCTTCTGCGTAAATTGAATCGAATGGCGCTGCAAATTGGGTTTGGTATAAAAAAAATCAATTTCGAACTTGGTAATTGCATTTGGAGCTGCACTTTAGCAACTCTTTTAATTGAACGCTCGCTACGAAAATACTCGTACTTCCTTTCAACTCCACGAAAAAACGCATGAGGGCAATGCAATTAAATCGTAACTGCAGTTTAAATTGCCGGAGCTTATGATATGAGGGTGTTCCTGTTATTGCAAATGTGGGTCTGTGCTGATGAGACTGAGTGCACATTTAAAGGTCTATTTGAAAAGAGGACCGCTTTCTGTATTTCTGTTTTAGAGAACAAAAGGGCTGAAAATTATATACATATATATAATTTAATCTATCATTTAATATATATATAATATAATCTATATTAATGCACACAACAAAGTTGGAAAACGCTTAATGTAAAACTAATCACTCATAGTTAGTCTCGAATAAACTTCTCATTGACACACCCCTGCCTCGTTTCAATAAAAAACATAGAAAGGATTCGGTTTAAGAGTTTTCAGAATACATTTCATTCACTTGAATACATTTTCTAAGCACTTTTCCACTCAACGGTTTCTTTAGTTGACGCAAATCATTGATAGTGAACTATTTTTTTATATCTTCGAGTTTAAACAATTCACTGGGTACTAACTAATTCATTTTATGTATTGGGGGATAAAAAAGTCTTTTGTGACAGTCGATGAGTGAGAGATTGGATAATCCTATTGAAGTCGAGTTCATCTTTGTATTTTTCTTAGTTCACATAAACCATTCAGAATTGAATGTCCTTAATTCTTCTAAAGGTACAATGGAGACATGAGCAAAAAATCCATGACTCATAATCTATTACGTGCTTTTAACTATGTTAAATATTTCGCACATTTCGTCGTAGATTTTTAAGCACCAATCGGCACGGATTAAATGCTTTTGTTAATAAAAAAAGAACCAAAACCGAAAAGATTTCGGGGCGATATTCAATGTATTTAATGCGAATAAATCGAGTTGGCGGCCCAATGTTTGTAATGTCGGCTAGTCTCTATATGAATGTATAGTACATATGTCATATGTCATCAACTTATGTTGATTTTATTTTGATATAACACCATTTTGCAGATGACCTTCACGAGATTTAACTGGGGTGAAGGACGTCCAGGCTGCAGCTTTTCATAGGGACCAACTATGGTACTTCACCGCTAAAAGTCAAAGTGCGTTCAATTATACCCTCTTGTTGAAATAAATAACGTCGAATACTGTAACCAATATTTGCACTATAATGTTCACAGCTTAATTCGATTTATTTGAACGTAATAATATCAGCCTTCACGACGCAAATCAATTTTTTCTGACTTCCCTAATATTGTTAATTTCCGAAATATTACAAAGAGATACCGCGCATTTATAAAACTTGATATGCTGATGGAATTTTAAATTTTAAAGTCTGTGAACATAGAAATCGTTTAGTGAACAGGAAAACTTTAAACAGTGTTACTTAAAAGTATATAGTTTTTTCATGTAGAGGGGACTAGCAATTGTTTGTATAAGTTAGGATACAACAATTGTTAAACTTCGTCCATTTGTGTTAAAGTTTACAAGTATAATCGAATAAAAGGACAGAACTTAAAAATTGTACAAAAAGGGACAGAATTTAAAAAGAACGTGACCGTGAAGGACCGATGTAATGCGAACTATCCATTATCGATTCAGGCAATGAAGGCGAATATCGAGTAAGCCATTTATGAAAGCTGGGTTATCGAAGGTGTTATTGCAAAGCTAGCCGGGACATACATTTTTTAAAAGAAATTACTACGACAAAGAAACCACTATATGGGCCATCTTATATATTCTTAATCAATATATCTGATTTACTGGGTATTGAAACGTAAGGATCCCGGCACTAAAATCAAATGCCGAGAAAGGACAAGTTTATTTCATTTTCATTTTCATTTCTACTCCTCTGCTGATTAGACATTTGTATACCCTGTACCCAAAGGGTGAAAGGGTATACTAGTTTTGTGCGAATGTATGTAACAGGCAGAAAGAGGCGTGGCAGACCCCACAAAGTATATATATTTTTGATCAGGATGACAAGACGAGTCGATATAGCCATGCCCGTCTGTCTGTCTGTCGGTCCGTCTGTCTGTATGAGCGCAAGGATTTCAGTAGGTACAAGAGGTAGGGTAACCAAAATTGGTATCAAGGTTCCTATAAGCCCTAGGCAGATCGAGTTTGTTTATTTTTGATATTCTGATACACCCCCCCACTCCCCCGCAATTCGTGTTTTTTCTTATAACTTCCGTAATTCTCGGAATTTTGAAATCAATTTTGGTAGGTAGATCCAGTTAGTACTTATGTGTCCGTGTGCCATTTCATCATGATATGTCAATTCTGAAGAAAGTTATAGCCATAAGTAAAATCGCTGCTCATGCGCTGCTCATGCGCTGCTCATGCGCTGCTCATGCGCTGCCTGCAGCTCTGTCGGCAGCGCTGCCCGCAGCTGTTGTTGTTGTTGCTGCTTTGGTTCAACTTTGTGCTGCATACATACACGCATATAAACACGCATAGGTACGTGATGTAAATGTATGCTGTTAAAACTGAACATAAACATTCTAATTTAATTTAATTAATTAATTTTTATTCATTCATTCATTCATTTTTTTTAATAATTTAATTTAAAAAAATTTTTTTTTTTTTTTTAATTTTTCCTTTTTGTGGAGAGTACAGGGTATTTTACAGTCGGGCTTGCTCGACTGTAGCGTTCTCTCTTGTTTCCCCTCAATTCGAGTGTAGTGTCAAGTTTGATCTTGATAAGTTGACTCTTAAGGAAATTATAGCCATGAATAGCCATATAATCTGTTGTTGCTGTTCTAGTTCAACTTCGTCCTATATACATACTGAAGCTGCTATATATTTAAGTTCGATGAAAAAATGTTTGCAAATAAAACTGAAAAATCGTCGAATTGTCAGCAATTGTTAAAGGAGTACGAAGAATGTCTTCCTTTCATCAGAGTTTTGTTTGTAAAAGTATTTGGGGGGTATATGAATATACTCGTAGTATATCTGCCTGCTGATAGAATAGTCACCAATAGGCTAAATTACTCGTACATGTTAGCTTGTTCCAAAAAAACCCACTTACATTCTCGCATGTGTCTGTCATGTGTTCGCATCCTGTGGCCATTTTCCCTAAAGGCGAAAAGACCAAAGTTTCTGAGAGACGGACAGTTGCAAAAAAGTTGGTCGTCCCACCGCAGTAACAAATGATTTATATTTCCAATTGAACAATAAACTTATTTTTTGCACAAAAGTTTGGCAGCCAACCGAGAAGAGCGAGCAAATATCAGCCAAACATTGTCGTCGTCTCTCCTCGCTCTCCCGCAGTCCCTGGGCGCCCAGGGAGTAGTCTGCATGTGTTTTTGGCAACGCCGTGTTTGGTTAAAAAGAAGTCGCTGCCCCGCCAGAAATTCTTGTAATGCGGCAGTTGACGGTGCCGGCTGCCGACTGCCGACTTCGGCGGCCGTTCAACATTCTTGGCAGTCGCATTCAAAAGAGCAAAAGTGCAAATTGCAATTTCGTTGCTTGTCAGAGACTCACATGCGGTAAGTGGAGCGGGAAGAGGTGCGGTGAGGAGAGGAGAGGGTAACCGAGGGTAACCAGTTGTGGCAGACTTTTCAGTAATTAAGAGAACAAACTTGACATTAGCGAGCTAGAATATAAAATTATGCGATTTGCATTTCATTTGCGTGGGCCATTTACTCACCTAGCAGGTGGCTGCGAAAATGGATGACATCGCGCAGAGCCACCTCCTCGTTCCGATACAGTATCTGAAAGATGCGGGACGCTCCACTGCCGTTGATTATGCACGCCGACGTACAGCTGCCCAGCGCATCTGCCTGTTGCTGTAGTTGTTGGTGGGCCGCCAGCTCACTATCACTGCCATGTTCTGTGCCATTTTGCTTGCTCCCGACGCCGACGCCGATGCCGCCACTGCCAGTTCCACTGCTGCCACCCCCCCCTCCGAGCAACGGAGCCGAGCAGGCGGTGCTTTCCGGTATACTTGTCTCCACCTGCACGGGCAGACGCGGTGAGACACGCAGAGCACAACGCACCTGGTACAAGCTGCAACAACAAATAGCTTAGTCATATGGTGCCATTGCCATGAAAGTTTATTAATATTTGTACAGTGAATAAAACCTATATGCAATTCGATGTGTACAGTGGGACATTATATTCACAGTTTACACAATGGAATATAGAAAACATTGTATATGTATTTATATAAGTACACATATGGATGTACTACATATGTATCATAAAACTAATTATGTGAGGCCCTAAACTATTGAATGGAATCAATGAAATTTTGAAAATACTCAGCATAGCTTTTCGAAACATATGTAACTACCTTTTTGCATATTTATTACCAACATTCTCCAAGTTATTATTTTTTAAATACGATAACAAAATCATTTCACTGAAAAATAAAGTTCCTTTTTTCAAATATATTACCTTCCCCATACCAAAGACGTATCAGAATGTATTAAAGGATGATTCATAAAATGGCAATAAATTCAGTTCGGAGTCATTAAAAAAATAAAGGACTACACTGGAAACTTTGTTTGTCATCAGAAAAAAAATTTCACAGAAAATTCAGAGCACTTAGCTACTTCTACACACTGAGCTTTTGTATACTTAATTTAAAACATGGTTTAAAAAATAGTAGATTTTCAAAAATAAAGTCGAACAAGCCAAAATAAATGTAAGCGTATTTAAGTTCAGTCGTGTATTACTTTTAAGTAAATTTAGAAAATTCGGTCGATTTGTTATAAATAAACACGGTAGACGTATGTTAGATCTAATAATAAAATTACTGTATTCAGTTATTCGGATTCCGAAACGTAGTGCTGTTCTGTAAAATACATACTATATGTATATGCGATTAAGCATAAAGAATTCAACACTGACAGTATTAATGGAAATGAATGTGTGAAATTGGTCGCTGGCCATTAAATTTGTTTATAATCCGCCCAGTTCTCGCATAAAATTCACACGCTTAAGACTCGCATCACGCCAATTTGTATTTGTGTGTAACCGAAAACATTTAAAGACCCGTATATAAGTTCCGCTGACACCTCGACATCGGCAGCTGCCAGCATCAGAGAGTCAACGTACAGTGGGACAGCTCTGGTCGAAATTGACGAGCAAACAATGCGATTGTATAGTACATATACGAAAGTATATATACATATAAATGTATGAATGTATGTATAAGGTGTGCAGGCATAAAAAACGAAATCAGTGAAAACACATAAAAAATGCCGAAACAATTTGTTTAGTTTCTTTTCATCGCATGCCCTCTGAATTGTTTATGTTATTTTTTGCGCAAATTTCTGGCGAGAATTTTCTTTTATTTTATTTTTATCGCAATACCAGTGGTTCCCCTTTCCCACCTCATCCATGCATCCAATTTCTTTGCTCTTGTTTCTCTTAAAGGGCCAGCAACAGCAACAAATACCATAAACACTATTCAGACAATTAGTGCTACTGCAGCTATTCGTCCTCCCCCTCTCCCCTTCCTTATGATTGTTTGTGTTTATTTGTTCGTTGCATTTTGTGTGTTTGTCCAACACTTCATGGATGCATATTTAACGGATTGTGAACAAAAGTGAACAATGCCATTCAATTGTTAAAGGTAAACTTCAGTTTGTTGTGAAAACATCAATTTTTAAATATTTAACGGCAATTTTTTAGTGTGAGTTGAATCGGGGCTATTGGTCTTTTGGCTGTGAGCCTAAAGCGCCCTTAAAAATTCAATGAGTACAAGCTTTTATTGGCTTTCTGTTTAAGAGTAGAAAATAATGCGAAGCCTTGCCCAAACATATTTATTGATTGTTCTGGAAATGGAAGAATATATTTGTTTTTATGAACCCAGCCGCGGACAGTCAATGTAAGATATTTAGAGCTATTGTAATTCTTGAGCCTTTTTATTAATATCTCAACAGAAAAATCCCTGTATAGTTTGTGTTGTGACTGTATGTTTGGGCAGAAAGTTATATCTATATGTTGACAAAAGAACTAGCTATATAAGCAGCTTTTTCCAAATTAAAATTTAAAATAAATACTTATGCATTTGATTAACAGAAAATCTTCAAAAAATCCAACTTAGCTCCATTTTTTAAATATAGCGAGCTATAATAATGAATGTATGGTCTACTATTGAGTGGGACAATTTTTTTCTAAAGATTGACCCCCTGCCCATGCTATTTAATTATTAAACAACAATATTATCAATAAGCAGTCATACAACAATTCTTGTTGTGAAGAATGGACCTTAGAAGGGAGTCAATGAATTATGCAATGATTTGTTTGGGAGTGTCATACAGAATTGTGTTAGTAGGATCTTCATTTGATATGCGACTCCTCCGAAATGTTCTCTTAGTGTTGAGGGCTTTATTGTCGAATTAAGTAAGTAAGCAATATATTAAAAATCGTCATTGTACTTGTATTTAACTTACCCGCGTTGAAATAAATCAACATTGAAGAATTTATGTAGTTCAACAGAAAATTCGATGGTTGCTTGTAAATCGCCCATGGCTGCTGCTCCTCGTGTTGCTCACTTTCCTCCTGCTCGCAGGCACAATGTCCTGTCCGGCCGGGCGGCTGCTCAAGTTGTCATTCAGTTTTACTCAGTCTGTTGGCCGTTGCCGCTGAGTGGGAGCTTTTCGGTTACGCTGCGTTGATTACGGCCACTGCTGCACGTGTTGAGTGGAATGCCAAAGAGATTGGGAGAGACGGGCGGAAAGGGAGAAAAGTTCGCTTGAGTCACTTTTGACAGTTTGGCGTCTGCATTTTGGTTTCGCTTAAGGTGTCAGCGCTTAAGTTGTCGCATGTTTGTTGCAGGAACACATTTCCCCTCCCCCCGTTTACACTATGTCCTTACTCTCTCTCTCTCACACACAATCACATAAACGCAAACGCATTCTCTCTCGCATTCTCTTTATTGGTACTACTAGCGTGGAAATATGCATTTAATGTGCTACAAACTTCATTGCTGCTACGTGACAGCTCCTGGCTCCCATGCCAGTGTAAATTCAAAAAGTTTCACCCACATACATATGTACATATATCCAATAAGCTAGCTCCCGAGCGATGGCGCCTCTCACACTCCTCACCCAAGGCTCACCCCTGTCCGCATCCAGGCAGTTATTCAGGCGGCCATTACAAAATGCTTTAACGGCATCGTTGCCAAGTTCGATTACAGAGCACGAAACCGCGCTCCAAATATTTATCACTCTACATATTGGCAACTGGAGCAATTGATTGCCTCGTAATTGTGTCTGCCCGATGAGCGGGTCTTGTGCGAAAACTGTGCCAAGTGAATGGTGGCGCTTCGGGGGGTTCTTGATGGCAGTTGCTGATTTCGAAATCAAGAAAAAGTAGCGCAGCTTGGACGTCGACGTCGACGCTGAGGTTAGCAGGTCAATAAAATGCGCGCCAGACTTGCGCTGTGGGCGTCCGCAACAATACAATACTCGTAAGTAGCAACGCAAAATTACGCGAACAACAACAGCAACAGCCACAAGAATAACAATAAAACCAACAGCAACAACAACAAAAACGAACAACAAAGTGAAACCAGAAAAGGGAAGCCGTGTGGCCGTAGATGGTGGATAGTGGATGGCGATGACGTGATGGAATAGGAACAGTAAAAAGATAAAAACAACAACAACAACGACGTCAACGACGTCGACGACGCAACTGCTGCAGAGAGGATAAAACTAAAACTTTTAATCGTCCACCAAACAAAAGTGCCGTTGTACGCATTGTTGCTCTTGTTATTGTTGTTCTCAGCGTGTTGCCGCAACACAGGCCAAAGAGGAAGAAAGAAAAACGTCATAGAAAACAACTCACGCATCAAAGCACAGTGGGTCGAATTTCCAATCCTGACAAATGAACCACGAGACATTGTGAATCTCGGCAAGTAAGCTTCAGTAAGAAAAAACAGTGTGTTGAGTATGGGTGTCTTGTGTACTCCAAATTTAAAGTGTAAGGTTCATTTTTTGCAGCATGTTTATAAACTAAATTATGTAAAATTATAAAATTATTTATTTATTTAATATCTCAACAAAAAATGCTGTCAATACAGTTTACTAATTTTAAGTTATAATTTAAACTTGAAAAAATAAGAAAGCCTCAAAAATAACAATACAGTAATGTCTATTATTGCCTCCGACGCGATTCGCAGCCATATATGTTAAGAGACATTATAGACGTACACCACTAAAAAAATAGATACTAGAGGAGAAAACTTAATTCTACTTAAGAGCTGTCTACATAGGTGAAATAAGGCAGAAAGAGAAAAAGGAAAATTTCCAACTCGGAGAGGGAAATTTTGACCGGACTGGCAAGCTATGACGGAGGTTATGTATGCTTTTTTTTTTTTTTTTTAATTTAAACCCTTGCATACCGGTAACAATAGCATTATAGCTTTGCATTTAATGTTGTCGCATCCCTACACACAGCTCACAAGTAGGATTCATAAAGTCCCCTCACCATTGTGTCATCCTGCCGCGGGGTCGCAGACATCGGCATCTGCAACATTGTCTGCTTTTTGCAATGCTGAGTTGGGCGCTGGCCTCGCTTGTTGACACAATAAAGCGCAGAGAAGCGACAAGAAAAGATGGTGATGATTACGATGGGTATGACGATGCAATAACGGTAAATGCATACATATACAAGAATGTTAGTGTGTGCGCCTCATTGTCAAACTGGGTTAACGTGTAGACGCGCGCCATTTCTACTAGAAGAGAGGGCAGAGTACGTTGCTAAATGTGTTTGAAAACCTGCAACAAGAACCGCAACAGTAAAATCGACAACAACATCTGCAGGGCGTGACAGCCCCAACCCCACCACCACCCCTTCAGTCACTCACACAGCATTACCCCAACAATGAAAGGGAAAGTGATGACGCCATTTGTTATCCTGTAGTCCTTAGCCACATTTAAATTGCTCGTTTAGAAGCGACAACATGACGTATGAGTGATGGCGTTGTTGCAATCCAGCTTTGGCTTCATTAAACGCTATTTGGCTTAACTTGGCTTGCAAGCCCCGACCACACGGACTTGTTCGCATCCCTTGTCAATATTTGCTTCGTTCTATTTTATATTTATGGTGCTGCTTCATGAATTCGTAAATTTTGTAGCCCTTCGCCGCTTCCAAGTTCTAAGTAATTTTTGGGCTGGTAAATTAAAAGCAAATTTGTTGTTAGTTTGCAAAGTTGCGACCTCAAATTCAAATGACTCTTTAATTTTACGCCCAACTTTGGGTGTTGCCCAACTGGCAGTTGTCAGTGCCTGGCAGGCATCATAAACATCACGCATACGCAACGTTGTCTGTTTGGATTTGAAATGTTCTAAACTTTGAAAGTGGGTCATAAAGTTGGATGGCTCTGCAACTACTACCACATTAACTATAAAAAAAAAACAACTGAAAAACGGATGAGATAACTTTTCCCTAGCTCTTCATATATTCCACACACTGCGATTGTTGCGCACGACCCAGCTCGATAGTGTGTGAGTTTGTGTTTGTGTGTAGGCAAGTGCCTTTGGCTGAATTTCCGAGCCCATTTTGACAGCAATTGAATAATTTTAAGAGATTAGCAAACCAAGCGAGTGAAATGAAAGTGTTTGCTACTTTTCAAATTGTCAGCTTCTATAGTAGATTGAGATTTTTATCGGTGCTGCAGGCACATAATAAAGACGCCGACATATTGAATATTAAACAAGTTTGAAGCAAGTTGTACATCAACCAGAATAGGTCTATATTCGATATACATATTTTATATAATCACTGTTCAAAGTTGTACTCCCATGCAATTAACTTCAGAAATACTACGCATTACAGTAGCCACATTTATCACAAATTAATACATTCTTTGATAAACATTATGATCATAAGATAAGAAAATGTTAAGAAAATTGCCATTTTGCACGGTTGCATAGTATTTGTCAGCTCACAAATTCTGTCAACTATAGTAATATAACACTTTTCTTGATTGATTTACTGCAACACAAGTTTTGTGTCATTTACAATGTACTATATATCGGGCCTGGCGTAGTTCATCGAGCTAGCCGGAATCCCACAATGTGAGTTCGTTCCTGAGTAGGCACTCGGCTCGAATCAAGCCGCAGCCATCATGACAGATGCCTGATTCAAAAATTAAAATGGTATCATAAGATTTTAGAATTATCCAATAGGACAGATATTAAACAAAGATGAAAAAAAAAAAAAACTTATAGAAAACAATGTATATTTTAAATTATTTAATACCTATAAGCAGTTCCCTTAATAATATCGGGATATTTTAGCCGCAATTAAGGAAATCTATAACGATCATGACATTTTTTCTTTTTCAGTAAGCGCGAAATTTTCGATGGATTTTAATATATTTTGTAGCTTCTTTAAAGGAAATGTGTACAAGCAATAAGGTAAGGTATATTTTTGTTCTATTTATGCGATTTTTGAATGCTTTAGTTGTCTTAGGACTTATCGATTTTCATGAAATTAGATAAAGTGGTATAGCTTATTGCACAGGTTATGACCTGATTAAAAATATGTGTAAATTGGTGGCAGAGATATCGGGGGTATTGGGTACATCAATTTACAACAAGTTACATTAAATAAGCAGAGTTCAATTTGGTGAAAATATTGGAAATATATTGGAAAATATTTAATTTGAGAATTCTTCTTTGGATCAATACCGTCAGACTTAAAAAAGTTAACATATAGGTGGAGATGGTCATAACTCGAAAACCTATCTCGTCTTTCTTGCCAAAAATAGGGGCTTCAGTGGCTAAAAATGGTTCAAATAATATGGTCGTAGGTTTTACTCCATCTGATTTGACCCAACTAAGCTATTGCCTGGACGAGTAATTGCATAACTGAAGTGGATAGCTACATCAAAGGAAATGTGTACCCAACAAAAGAATATCGTGGTGGCCTTTGCAACTACTACTACGTGCATGCGAATATATATCCGAAATCAATAACGGCTACTACTTAGGCTTATCATCTGGGGCAATAAAAAGAAGCGCAAAAGCCACTTGAGTGCGTTATCGAAATCATAAGCAAACACTACCAGAATGAGGGCCAAAACAACACATGCTAAAGATTTCCGATCAGGCAATACTGCCTGTTGTTTCGCCACTTACGAACCGCCACAATCAGTGTGGAAGCACGCGCTAACAATGATGTTGGTGTTGATGCTGAATCTGATGCCGATGCCGATGCCGATGCTGATGGAGAGGTTGACAAGGACGAAGATAATGTTGAAGCTTAAGACGAAGACGTTGCCACATTTGTGACGCGTCGATGAGACAACGGCCACATAAGCAGTGAAATCAAATCATTCGTGCGCTCATTTCGCTTATCGTCATAATGATTATCCTTAATACGCCTTGAAGGAGAAAGTAGACTTCCGCGAACGGAAATGAAAGCCGGTCCGTTTGGGCCACCCAATGGGCATCTCCCACCCCTACTCTCGCGCTCCCACGGATGGATGCCTGTCGTCTGGCTGGCTGAGTTTTACGTTTCGTCTGCCCCAAATTATCGCCGTTTTTACTGTCTATCTGTCCTTTAGTTCGTTCGTTCAACGGTTCGGCCGTCTGTCTTCTAATGGCTGGGCGGGCGCTCGGTCGCCTACGCAAGGGTGTGCCGTCAATGGCAGGCATCCTCCACGGCCAGGGTGCTGATG